CAATATTGCATATTTCGTTATTAATTAATAAAACTAATCCAATGTTTTTTGCCGTTTCAGCTAATTTTTCTTATTACAATAAATTAAACATTGCCCATATAGCAGCCTGTTTTCATAATGGAGTTTGAAAATATGCTACATTGGCCAATTTTTTCTTTTCTATTACAAGAATGTAACTCATTCTTTCAAAAGTAAAATCAATTTTGCATAGAAAAACATGAACAAGGACGTAGCTGAGGATCATTTTTAATTTTAACGAGTGGATTTTTTTTTTTTACTCATCGTCAGTATTCTAGAATCATGGTTTTAGTAAATTTTTAAAGCGATTTATTTAGTTTTTATTTTTTTCCTTAGATTGTTTTAAATCGATGCTACTTAACAAAGACATACTCTACTTAATTACCTTAATTATAATGATTTTTCGTACTATTTGTCTACCCAAAATTGCGTGACCTTATCATTTTCGAAAACTTTCGATGTAGATCATAAAAAAAAATCATGAAAAAAGGAATAAGCTTGCACCGTTTCCGTCCCGAACGATAAGCCTTGAGAAAGTAAACCTAGACTTCATTATAATACATAATAAAATAAAAAGGCATTAACAATTTCAAAGTTGTTGAACAATATATTTTTGTAAGGTTGCGTAAAAATAATATGAAATTATTAAAGAAATTGATATATAAGTGTAACAAAAAATGAATGCATTTCACATGTAAATTACTTTTTAAAAAGATTAACTTACGATGTAAATAATTAAAAAAAAAATTTAGGTTCTATTTATTAAAAAACAAAATATTTATATTTCATTCATGTTTCGCAAATTTCGTAAATTGTTTAAAACACCTAGTTCTTAACTTTTAATATTGACCATAAAATAAAAAAAAAAATTTGTAATATTTTTAATTACGAATAATTCAAGTTTCATATTTCTTGATCAGAATACGAAATTCAATTCTATATAGATAGAAACTCGTAATAAGTTAAAAGTAATATTTAAATTTCAAAAACTGGCAGCTAAAATAATAATATAATGTATTAAGAAATCAAAAAAATTCGAAACTACTCATTCGATATATTAAGTATTACGAGGGGTAGAAAAAAATGTTGGGAGCTTAGCCAACCCGGTGCGAGCGTATCCGTGGTAAAATGTAAAATCATATTTTCAAAATGTATATAAAAACATAATTAAAGTGCGGATAAGAGAATATTGAATTTTACAGATGAACTGTGAAGTAAAAAATTTAAATAATTCGATTAAATAATAATTATTAATATTTTTTTATTTATTTTTTTTAGACGAAGTCAAAAGTCAAAAGGTTCACACTTTTCAATGAAATGCGGTTCGTCTGTAATTTCTTACCGAAAAATTATTTGCGAAAGAATACGGCGATAAAGAAAACATTAAAATCGGCATATTATTACTATATAAGTGCGTTAATTCGTTAAATTTTTTTCTTTCTCGTAGGCTTGGACCAGCAGCTGTTGAGATTATTCAAGGTTGTGTGTATTATTATAAGTATACTTGTGAAAAAGTTGTTGAATATTGTAGTATGTTTGTAAATGAATACAATGCACGAGGATTTTCCCATAAAACACTTTATTATGGTATCTTTTCTTGCTTTTCATTTTCCACTCATTCAAAAATTTCATGTTGCAATTTCATTATGTTATGAAATATGCCTTGTGACATTCTAAGCGGAAAAAATTAATTTAACATAATTTTTAGACACTAATATTCTTAAAATTTTAAGTTATATAACATATCAAAATTTATAATTCATTTAACTGTGTTTTATTTCAATATCTTATTTAATCTTACTAAATGATTGCATATTTTATATTTCGAAACGATAATTATCATTTTATTAATATCATTGTCAAAAATTATCAGAGTTTAAGAAAGAAATGAATATTAATTTGAATAATCCTATATAGAATGTCCTAGATTGAAGATTAAAATTTCATAAAATAAGTAATTAAATAAATACCTAGATAAAGAAAAGTAAAGCAGAATTGATATTAAAATATAAACTGTCATGTGTTTATGTCGAATCTCAGAAATAATAAGAAATAACAGTGCCTTTGTTCAGATAAAAATTTTATATAACAGCTGAGCCATAATATGACAGTAAAATGAATGGAAATTAGGAAAATTCTCGGCTTGCTTACTTATAAGTGCCAGGACAGAACACCTCAATCGTTAATAATAATAAAGTATATAGAAAAGGTCAGTCCTGAATGAATTTTTTCTTTCATGCGTTATATTATTTTTCTTAAGTTCGCCACGTAACGTTGTTATAAATGGAGTATGTACTAACCGATATACTGAGGAAGGAGGATAAGTTTTTCTTGACTGAGTATGCAGAAGAAAACATGAAAAAATTAGTGTTTTTTTTTTAATCTACAACACGCGCCAGTTTTTAGCAAACTTTTCTCTGCATATTTTTTCATTATATTTTGTTTTTCGCGTGAACATTCGCATACGCGAAATTACACATACACACACACACAAACACACAAAACTGCATGAATAAACATATATAGCGTATTCATATACACAACATTCACTTAATGTTTGATATTTTGTACTTTACGGAGAACCCCTTAAAGTTAATTAACATATACACATAGACGCAGGTTTACTTAATTTATGATTTTACAGTAACTTATGTATTGCACGTGTTTTTAATTATTTTATTATTATTTTTTAAATTATGTAGATCGATAAGCGCACGATTTTTTATTGTAGCGCAAAGGTCCTCGGTTTTTTCTGTTTCTGATTCGTCGTCTTTATTATCTCGCCCTCTCCCAGTACATAAAAACCGAGGCATAACTTAATTTATGTATAAAATGCCAATTGTAAGAATCTCTCATATTATACATTTACATTTTTTGTGTCCGCGTATTAAGCGAATATTGCGTTTTCTATCTCCCTATCATTAACGTCTCTAATCTTCCGTTTTAAAATAGGTAGAGAAATTATATAATTGTTTCGAGGGAAAAAAAAAAATATCTGGCTCTCTTTTGTATTATTTGAAGCGACGAAAGGCGTACATTTTCATGGATTCAAAAAAATGTTGACTATGGATTGTGTATGCTTTCATAATGCGATTATCTTGATTAATGTCTAACTTTATTATTTATTTCATATACACTTATTGAGCCGTATGCATTTTCTGGATATAAAAACAAATTCTTTCTTTCTTTTTTTTTTTAATCATTTTTGTATTTCACGTATAAGAAAGTGTTTGCTAATATTCATGAACGATATAAAAATATAATTACTTAAGTTTGTATCTTTTAGAACTTCAATGTAAAAATAGAAAATTAACTGCAGTTCTTTAAATAAATAAATCTCCAAATAATGGCGATTGAAAAAATTGTTAATTGGGGCATTCGCATTACGTGGCTCTCTCTCTGTCTCTCTCTCTCTCCCTCTATACATTGGTACCCTCAAATACTTGTTTTCCTTCTCCTAAGCGCTGTATTTATTCGAGTATACACTTTATATGTGATTTGTTGGCGAATTTTGTATAAACGTATATATATATATATATATATATATATAAATATATATATATATATATATATATATATATATATACTCTTATATTTTTTGTGCGAAAATCGAAATCTGTTAACACTATGGACATTTGCTGGACATTTTTTAATAAATGTTTTAAGCATCTGAAAATTCTTCATTTTTTAAATAAAGAAATGTTACAAAGGCTAGTGTTGTTCATTTATTATTAAGATTATGTTAACCTACCCCACCATTTACATTAACGAGCATGTGAAGTATTTACAATTTGTTCTAATGTATATAAAATTTTATTACACTTATTATGCGCAAAAATTGAAAAAAATTCAAAAGAATTTTGTACCCTTAAATTTAATATAAATATCCAAGAATGTTTGTTTGTATATAAAGTAGAAATTAGTAAAGAATTGTATTATATAAGATTTTAAGAATTTAAAATTTTTACAAGATTACATAAGTTCCTAGTATAATAAATAAATTAACAATTAAAATTAGCTTATTCTATTTCTTGTAATAAATATATTCTACGATCAGAATATTAATAACCATAATCAATGTAAGCATAGCATTAATATTAACTTATTTACTTTTCACAGTTATATTCTTAGAATTTGTCTCTTTTATTCCTGTCCACTTTTAGTTTCTACTATTTAACTTTGATAATTCTCGTAGGTCGAAATATCATATGCAGCGTAATAAAATCTTGGCGAAAAATGGAAATTACACATAAATTATAAAATTGTAAATTATAACTAAGGGATTTATTATGCGTATTTATCATAAACTCTGTCGATATTATAATACGTATTTCTTAAAATATTCCTATCGGATACACGCACGCGCGTGCATATCGTACACATTAAATACAATTAATATTTTAATAATTTAGTTGCTAATGTGATTGATTTTTCTGTCCAATTCACATAAAATTAAGATAAAGAATTTTCGTCATATCATAAATTTCATGCATTGATAAATATTAGATATCGAGGGCAGCGTTACTTTCCATCAAAGGTAATTCTATATAATCGACCTTGTTTTAAAAACAAGGTCAGAAAGCCTAATTTTAATAGAGAGCATTTCTCGTGCCCTCACACATAGGAGGCGCGCGCGCTAACGCACACAATCACGCAAGCATTTACACGGGTACTAGGTAGATGCATGATGTACGAAACGATAAGTCGCGTATCATCAATTGTTTGTATGCGGTCACGCTGATGTAATAATAAATGAGGCTACTTAAATGGCGAATGAAATCATTGGCGATCGTGCCTCGAATTAATAAAAAATATAGTTTCAGACAAGTGCGCAGAAATTGGGAACAAAGTTATATGGAGAAGGAGAAAGGAAATCAATAAATACACCTCTGGAGAGGCATACCCCTCGATAATTAAAATTGCCGCTCTTGAGATTGAGTCTTGACTAGCTTAGTAGCTCGTGTTAGACTACACGCTTCCTCTTCCGTGTCGCGCGCGTCAACGCCGTCGCATTATCCTCTCTAGCCGGCGATGTTGAGTTGTGATGCAGCAGCAGCAGTGTGCCGCATACAGATCGGAGTCGAGCGTTTGGCCGCCATTTTGTAATCGCCATTTTATTCCCCTCGGTAACGGGGCGAGGACACGTACTTGGCTTGTGTGCCACTCTCTTGCCTCATTATCGTCAGAATTCGATCGAGTGCCGCTGCACTTGTTTTGGAAGCGCCGACATTCTCTTTATGACCCGTTAAACGAGAACGAAAGATAAGGTAATTGCGTATTACGGGATTGGATGTTTAACGTATAGTTGTTTGCCACGATGTAATGAGCAATTTCGCGAGTCAGCGTTTACGTGTGTTTAGTGGGCTTAGTTTGCGATTATCACGAGTTTTGGTTTTTTCATACGGTCGTCGTTACCTTTAGGCAATTATTAGAGTTCTGGTTATCTGGTTATAGTATTTCACCGGCGGCCGATCCTATTTTTTTTTTCTTTTTTTTTTCACAATCACATTTCGGCTATTCTGAATATTTGGACGGCTATTAATTTAGCACATTATTGTAAATGATTTGAAAGAGAGATTTGTACTTGTTTCTTATTCAATCGTCAGTGGCTGTTAATTGATTTTCAACCAACTTACTATTATTTAATTATACGATTTTTAAAATTTTTTCAGAAAATTATAATCTACAAAGCTAGGGATACTTTGCAAAAATGAGCTACGGTAGACCACCACCCCGCATTGATGGGATGGTCTCCCTCAAGGTTGATAATCTGACTTATCGTACTACTCCCGAAGACCTGAGACGAGTATTTGAGCGCTGTGGAGAAGTTGGAGATATTTACATACCTCGTGACAGATTCACAAGAGAAAGTCGTGGTTTTGCATTTGTCAGGTGGGGTACTTTAGGAAATTTAAAAGTATTATATTGACGCTCATGAATGGATAATTGCATTAAATAGTATATTGGGAATTGAAATGGGCTTACCATTTAATAGGAACATTTAGTTGAATTTTTGAATAAAAATTACGGTTACCCCAATTAGGTTGGCATTTGTAAAATATAAAGTATTTGAGAGCCCTATGTACTTGATTAATTAAGTAATGAATTAATTAATCGTTGCATTCCTTTAGACGATGTTTATCGAAAATGAAAAATCATTTGTATGTTTTTATGATAAAATTCATTATGTTTAAAAAGTCTGTTATTAAATCTGTTATTAAATTAAATAATAATGCAATTGTTTATCGAACATTTGTATTGAAATGTTGTAGATTTTATGATAAACGAGATGCCGAAGATGCACTTGATGCTATGGATGGTAGATTGTTAGATGGTAGGGAATTGCGTGTTCAGATGGCACGTTATGGAAGACCTACGTCACCTCATCGTAGTCGTGGAAGTAGACGCTGGAGAAGGTAAATATTTCTTAATTTGTAATTTTAAAAAAATGCGATTTCTCTACAATAATTTAAACAATGTTTTTAATTTAATGTAAATGTTCACAAAGCTTTAAATTATACTTTTGAATATCTTCAAAATGCATGATGAATTATGGAATATAGTAGAGATAAATATATTTACATAATTTATATTAAATAATATTTAATTATATAATTAATTTATATAATATAAATAAATATGGGTAAATGTAATTTATTATTTACCATCTATGTATCATCCATATCTTTGTCAATCAAATTAATTTAATTTGATAAATTATTTGATAATTTTGAGGAACGTCATAGGATACACTGTAGACAGTAGAATATATTTTTATGCAATTATTTGCACCTTTAGGAATTTGCAGAATGCGCGGACAATTTCGAGAAAAAAATTATAATTTTTAAAGTTCCAATGGGATTCGCGCGCGTGTTCTTTAATGCCTAAAATATGGATCAACCACGTTAATTATAATATAGCGAGTATACATTTATTTTGCAAAAGCAGCAATATATTATTCAAACGATTTACTCAAAATTAATGCACGACACCGATGGATTAATGATGAACCTACAATTGTGTTGTGTTCGCTTTACAATAAATACATCTAAGTCTATAGTACGGATAAGAAATTGAAAAAGGTTTGAAATTTTCATTTAAATTCGTATTGTTTATGCGCCTTCTCGAAATTCTTAGGAATAAAGCATTTTCTTATGCACTGCATGAACGTTGTCAGGCAAATTCGTTTTTCTGGTTATCACCCGTAATCTCAGTTTGCGCAGCGCATATTAATAATTTGTAACTAATGACCTTTATGACGAGCAGCTCTCGCAGTCGCAGCCGGGACCGCAGACGCTCGAGGTCCAGGTCACGCTCTCGCTCTCGCTCGCGCAGTCGTGACCGGGACCGCAGGCGCAGCTATAGCCGCAGTCGTTCACGCTGCCGCTCGGACAGCAAGAGCTCGCGCGGCAAATCGCGCAGTCGCAGCAAGTCGACCGATAGACAGAAGGACGTGCGCTCCAAGTCAAGGTGAGTTTGCCCCTACGTTCATATCGGTTTAGCCTATGATCTGAATGCACATGTAGTCGAGTGTAATATTAGATTGGCTGTCGTGGAAAGTGTTTGGCAGTTTTCGATCGGTCGAATATATCTGGGTATTGTTAGCCAGTGCAGAGAGAAATATTATCGATTTCGAATTACCCCCTACTGATATATTGTTTTATTCATTGGTAGTCGATCGAGTGGGAGACTCAATGACATTTTATGAAGTATTTTATTGCAATTAGTCATGTGAATAATAAGATATTTAAAGAAATATTGAAAAAGAATCAATTGAGTCTAGAATATTTTTAATCAATCGTTCATTGATATTATGAAGTATATAATTAAATTAGCTTTTTTCTTTTTTCTCAAGGATCGTTTAATAATCTGGGTGAAATTTGAAATTATAGAAGCTACAAACTAATTTAATAATTTTAAAGGCATATAAATCTATTATTTTATTATTATGAGAATGTAATTTTGTTAAAAAAAAAGAAGAAAAATAAGGATATGCAAGGAAACGAAAGAATTTATAAGATGAAATTAATTATTCTCCTGTTTCTATAGGGATTGAAACTAAAGCCAAATTTTCTTATAAATGGCAATTCATGTTCGAGAGGCATTTGCACTACCATCTCAAGAGCCAACTATACTGACTTGAATTATAAAAAAGGTATTCTATTTCTATCCTGTCATTCAATGTCTTGTTTCAATCTTTTTAGTTTCGTTTTATTTTCACGACGTTACTTAAGGCGCGCGCGTTCCAAACCTTAAATCTTTCGATTTTTTTTTTTTTTTTTTTTTTTTAAATTTTATTTATAGTAAGTAAAACAATTATGTATTAAAGAAATACTATTTCTTTATGATGTATCCACCGTGGATACCATAAGTAGATGTAAAGTGCTGCTGACACTATTAACATTTCTAAATATTCAAATGTGCAGAGTTTTAGGCTTTTTATGTCTTCTACTCTAGATATAATGTATGTAAATTTGTAAAACCATAGAATTGTCAATTGAAAAATAAGAAATTAGGCGATTTATTCTAATTGCTCGGTAAAAGATATTGTCTTGGACTTCGAAAAAATTTATAAAGATAAATTTTTTTGCTGATTCAAGGTTTCTATTTTATAAAATTAATCTTTCATCAAGACATTTTTTTAGGAAAAACCTGTAATAATTGTTTATTTATTGATTTTTTTGACATTGAAAGATTAAGAGAAAAATAGATATTAATACAGTGTTTTTATCAATCAGCTTAAAAATACATTATACAAAAGAAATTAATTGATCATACATATAGCAATTTTTAATTGAAAATTAATGTAACATCTGAAATTTTTTTTAAATTCAACGTATTAACTTTTCTTTAGAATATTTCTAAAAATGGACAAAAAAACTCCTTTCCATGCTTAGCGTTTTTAAGTGTAAGTTCTGCGTTATTTTGTAACTTAAAAACACGTAATCTACACATATAAACAGACTTATTTATGTAAGTTTGTCATTCATTTATAATAAAGTGTAATAAGATACAGAAAAATTAAAAAGAAATTATTAATTTTATTAATTAATGTACAAGAAAAAAACTTCTAATGATTGAATAACGTAAGTTAACATTTCATTTATTCATAGCTTGTAAACGGTTTTTAAAAATGTTTTGCAAAATGGCATTATTTATACACAATAATTAAAATTTACTTTAAAAAGAAAATGTATTTAATGGAGATAGAATTTAATCAAATAAAGTTATGAAAAGTAATTGGAATTATTATTTAAATAGATGAATGTAATATAGCAAGAGAGTCATAGATTATATCAGCACTACTATTATTAAAATCATCGCCTAATTCATATTTGAAACTAAACAAGTCAATTACATAAAATTGATTCTGTCTCTTAAAATACAAGAAGAAAAAACTAATAAAATATTATAATAAACATAACTTATGTATTTGAAATGTGATACATTTATATAAGTAATGTATGCACATGTACGCTTGGATGTGGAGAGTATGTATTATGCATACACACACAAACCAGTGTAAAATATTAAAATGTTTTACATATCTTATATACGTGTTATATATGATTGCACTGGACAGTGTTATTGCTTAAATTTTATATATTCTTAGCTTAATATTTTTAACAATATGTAAAATTTGTATCCAATAAATTTTTAATTTGACAGGTAGAATATTAGATTTTTTTGTTTTTTTTTTCCATGTGGGAAATTAGTTATATTGTATATTAAAGGAAACTGTCAATTTTTCTTTATATAAATTTATGTAAAATGTTTCTAGCATATGAGATACCTTAGAAAAATGCCTTTTGCTATCAACTTGACAGAAAGAATGCATATCTTTATCTGTTCTTATTTAAATTCTAGATTCGACATGTTGTCCAGTTTGATAATATATTATAAAAGATAAGCGTCTGACACAATATTCATTTTTTGCTGCTTATTGCAAGATAAGCGTATGAAAAATAATAAATATTAATAACGTTTGATTTTTTGATACGTTTGAACGTTTGATATTTTACTTATATTATCCATTGAAATTTTAATTTTAATAATGTATTTGTCTAAGTTTAAAAGTATCGCTGCTTTTTTTTTATTTGATTAATTATTTTTTTATTTATATATTGATATTAGATTTAATAATCGTTTAATTTTTTTAGATTGTTATAAAAGGTTGCATAGGCAAAGTTAAATTTTTGATAGCTCCAACATAATAAATGAATAACTTCGTCTAGTGCAGTCACACATGTATCATCTCCTTCCAAATCCAATATCCCAATAATGAAAAGACAAAGGAGATTCTGTATACCAACAGAGATTCCCATTCCAATCAGCAATTGCATAAAACTAATAACGTGCTGTTCCTTTTTGTTTGTGCTACTATTGATTCGATATAAATTCAAATAAAAGCACCTTCATTAACTAATAAATTATTAAATGAACCTGAAAAGTGGTGGCTAATAATAGGTTTTATGTCAAATGCAAAAGCTAATGGGTCAGGCTGTTGTTGGGTATCCAAAATATCCTGCAAAAAGACAAAAATATATATAAATATATGTATACACGGGCGCTTGAACGTGTAAAAGTTGTGAGAACAACTAACCTAAGTTCTGTATTTCTATGGTGCCACAGGCGGCTGTAAGGCGGAGAGTGGCGCGCGCCGAGAGAAAGAGAGTAAGCAGGCCGTAAGCCGTGGGGAGAGAGCGAGACGGAGATTGGTTGCGGTCGTTGCTGTCGTGTAGCAGAGCGAGAGAGAGCGAGAGAGAGAGAGAGAGAGAGGGGCACTTTGCAGTAGGCCGAAAAGTCGCAAAAGAAAAAAACAGAGCGAGAGGGGGTGCGCGCGCGCGCTCGCGGGTGTGCCTGTGTGTGCGAGAGAGGGAGAGAAAGTGAGTGAGAGAGTGAGGAAGGGGACGTGAATAGTAACGCGAGGTTTTAATAAGTTAAAAGAACGAAACGTCTAGTGCGTATAAACGAGGGTCTTTTACGTTCGTGGGTGATAAATAATGATTCGCGAAACGGATCGAGAGATACCGGAAAGCCTCCTCTCGTCTCAGTGCGGGAGAAACGTACGAGGTAGACGAGCAGTATGCAGCCGTTTCGGGGAACGTTCGAGTGCTAACGAGAGAGGAACATAAACATTGTCCTGCTGAGCCCCGCCTTGCAGTCCACGTTGCTGCCGGACTTCGGCTTGAAAGCAGCTCAGGCGCTCTGGCACGTATATACAAAAAGAAAACCAAATAAATAAAAGAGAAAAAATATCCCGGTGGTGTTTGTGTGGCGCACTGGTGTAATCCTCCACGGCTTAATATTGTGAAAAATTTTGTGAAATGATATGTGGATTATCATCTTAACACGTGGAATCCACCCATTTTAACGTCCACTGAAGATATCCATGTATAGATCCTTAATTTTTCACAATGTTATAAAATTTGCAATTTGTATCTTTGGCATTTTTTTTTTCTTTTTTTTTTCTTTTTTTTTTCTTCATTCGATAGATATTACCACACCTTTTAATTCATATCCCTTCTTTAAACCCTAATAAACATAGTTTTTGAGAATTATTTCATTTAATCAATGTACACTTTTAGTTAACCAAATCAATGATTATTTTATTTGTTATTTATATGCAATTTAAAACATTGTATAACATAATTTCATAAAAATTTAATAATGAAGAATATGTACACTGTCTTTTAGATTTGCACATTATTAAAAATAAAATGCTAACTACAGTAGTCCTATGAATTAAAATACAGTACTGTAATTAAACATACAGTGTAAAAATATCGTCTTAATTAAATATAAGCTTAAATCTAAAGATTTCTTAATTATAATTTTATCAATACTTTATCTTATTTATTATTATATGTTTGCATCCAGGAAGTAATATAAAGATTTTACCTTTTTGTCTATGTAAATTTATCTGAATTGACTAAGAATTGAATAAGATTTAACAAATATAATGTAATAAAGGCATATGAAGATGAACATATATGTTTAAAAAATTTCAGTTTTATATTTCTATTTTATTATAATTTTGAATAATTAAGATACTATAACTTACATGTATTTATATATAGATAGTATTTAGAAAATAAAATTATGGAAGTAGGTTCAACTGCTTAACATTGGATATAATATTAATAATTGCTTTTCCTTTGCCAAATTTAAGAACTGTTATTGTTCATTATTTTTGTTTATATATATCACTTGTGAGATACAAATTGCATTTAGATATATAACACACCAGTGTAATACATGAAAAACATTGTCCTTCAATTTCCACAGATTTTACATGAATTGATTTTGTTCTTCATATGAAAAATAAATCTATTATCCCAATTAATATAAAGATATGTATATAATTACTAAAAATTCTTACAGATATTTTTACTTATATTTCAACAACAGTTCCAAAACGTCTTCATCAGTTTCTGATTTATTTATTAATATTTCAAGTAAAATATTGTCAAATTTTTTAAATATTTTTATAGCTGTAGATATATATAACTCGTTTGTTCGTTTTTGTGTGTGTGTGTGTGTGTGTGTGTGTAAACGATGTTTTCTTTATAAAAGTACAGACATTTTCTGTACATGTAATAAATAATTGTTTTATTTTAAAGTCTTTCTGAATACATATAATTTAATCAGTTAAAATATAAATTTTTACATAAAAAAGAGTTTGATTACTAATAACGATGATTAAAATTCGTGTTTTCTTTTAAAAGATTTTACAGAAATCAATATATAATTTTTAAACTACGTTTTAATTTTTTTTTTTTTTTTCAATACTACAATTTCGTTTTAATTTTATTGTTAACGATATACATTTCAATGATAATGAACAGTCAGGAAATTATGGTACGTATTAAAAATAATATTTATTTCGCTATTATTTTTTTTAATAGCTATTGCTTCATATGGTTACATGTAGAAGACTAATTTCCAAAATGTATTTAAAAGGAAACTTTGTGTACATTAACGTTCAACTACCACTATTTTATATTTTATAAAATTTTTCGTTAAATTTTTTTTATTTATTTATTTATAATTAAATATTAAAAACATTCGTGATACATCATGAAAGTGAAACTAATTTTTCTAATTAAATTTAAAACTAATGGAAGAAATCATTTTCTATCAAAGTAGTTGAAACATTGAAAATCTCAATACAACTTTTGCATAATTAATATGTTTTTATAAACTATTGCTATAAAACAATTATAACGTACCTTCTTTTCTAGTAATTTAAAGTCAATTTAAAGTTGCACTGTTAATGCTCCAGTTAAAATATATACCTAAAAATTATAAAATGATTACTTTTCATTTTATTTATTTTCACCTTTTTTTTAAATATTTTTTCTTTGCAAAAGAAATTTCTTCTGGACTTGGCCGTATCGATTTATTGTGTTAATTTTTTCGTATCAACTTGGACGTATAGATAACTGATCTATTCCCTCGATCATCTAAATATAGTATTTCGATAGTGAATAACTGGTAGGGCATTTTCGAACAATCATCTTTCTATTTCAGGTTGTCCTATAATTGGCAAAGTAAGTGCGCCTGTACGACATGAAAAGAGGAAAAGGAGAGAAAAAGATTATGTGTGCGTGTGTGTTCGTGCGCATGTGTAAATAAAAACAAAAAGAAAATAGTTGTTTAACAAAACTATTTTATTACAAATAACAAGTATCACCTACTTTTAATTTTAACAATTTACGTCATAATATATGAAAATGTTGAAAAATGTTGAAATTAATAAAGCTCGAAATAAACAAAAAAAAGCATTATTTATATTTATTACCCGACTTAAAATAATAAGCAAATGTTTAAAACGCTAAATAATAAGTATCGAAAGACGTACGTTCAAGAAATTATGATCAAATAGTTAGATAAAAGCATCAGCGCATACTTCATAATTTACAAAATATACTTCAGTACATTTATTCAGATGTGAGGCCATTAATACTCGATGAATCTTTGTTTTTAATGATTTTTCTCTTCGATACGAAGAGTTTATTAAAAGCAGTTATATTTATATTGGAAATATTTTATCATCCGTAGCGTTGAGTGACTAGTTATTTTACTAGATTTATATGTATGAATTTTAAATTGTCATTTAGTTTTTATTTCTTATAATGATGTTGCTACATTATCATCGTGATTCATAATTAAATAACCTAAATGTAATTATATGTAATGTAAATATAAATATAAGTAGTTATTATTAAAATAGTATAAATTCAAATAAGTTATTTCAATATAATCAGCTGTTGAAATGGAAGATTAAATATTATTTTAATATAAGAGATTTTTGTACTTTATTTTGCAAATAATCATTGTTTTTATAATAATTTTTTTGAATATTATTAATAGATGTATAATTATGAATATAATATTTTGCTACAGAGAAATATGCAAGAATTGCTTTTAAATTTTACGTGGTTGGATCTTTAATTATAAGTGTTATTTTTATTGATTGATTAAATTTGATTCGGTAACTTATGAGGTTTGCTTGAAATGGATTATATTTAACACATGAATTAACATTATAATCAATTTCAAATTCATACGCATATTATTAGAAATTTATAAACGTAATTAGTTCATTTTCATTATACAAAAGATATAAGAAATTCATAAAATTGACTTTACTTTTATCATATAATGAAACCTATAAAATTATATTTTCATATGAGTGAAAAATTAAATGACTATGTACAATGTATATTACCTTTCCTTAATCCGATAAATATGACAAAATTCAAGCCGACCCAACGCTTAACCGCATTTTTAATAATCTTTTTATTGAAAATATAAATGTTTCCAACAAACATCCTATTCTTTTTCATTGAGTATCGATGTATTTACATAGTTATCGAGGAAGTTAAAGAATCAAGATATTGTCAAAAATTATGTCGGTAAAAATGGAAGAATCAAACAAACTTAATCTGCAAGTTGTACTATAATTAGTTGTATGTAACAGTCCGAGTCTAAAGTATGAAGTATTTGAATAAAATTTCAGTGCATGAATAGATTCATTTTGGCCTAAGTAGCTCTCCCAAACTACAGTACATATGCACAGTATAAGCTTTCTTCCCAAATCTGCTAAAATTCAAGTTTCACACTGTTTAGCGCGAATGGCCTTGAAGTACATTAAAATCTTGACAACTCTTAAGCGCGAGGACGCACGCCCAAGATAACGAAATTGCTGAACTCAGCAAATGCCTATCAAAACTAAAACTACAAGCTCGCACGATTCTTGCAATTGTCTTGGATTTTCGGGGCCGCTCGCCCAAGTAGCAACGCAGAGGTCATCTCATCCTTTACAGTAGGATGTTGAGTAAAAAGGTGCTGGTCCAATACCGCTGCAATTAAAATCCTCAAGAAAATACAACTGAGCCAATGACTTCCATGGCTTCTAGCTATCCTTGGGTTTGTCAGCTTGGAGGACGGTTGATGATCGGAACAAGGCCAGTCGGCCTAACAGGTAGAGCACGAGCACGAGAACGTGACCGGCGAAATAGATGCTCCTGTAGAAAGTGAGCGTCTCACTGAGTTCCAGCAACTGGAACGATAGTCCGAGGTAAGACATGCATGTGATCCTGGTGAACCAGAGTAGACAGTGGAGCGATAGCTTTATCTGTTAAAGACAAATCGTTATTTTTCTAATTTTCATCCTCTTGTTTCTAATTTAATGTTTTATTTTTTATTTTTTTACTTAAGCGTTTGATTACGCGACTGATGTTCGTGCGAGTAGATTTTTTTGTCTCAGTTGTTTATTTTTCTTTTTTCTTTTTTTTTTTATCACGGTAGTAGATAACAAAATTTGAGAACTTTCGAATGAATATTAACGAACGCGAAGATTTAATTTAATTTATTACTTTTTCGTACTTTTTGAGGGATAAAAATCCAGGAAAATTTTCAAAATAATATAACATTATTCAGACATTTTAATTTCATTAATAAAATTCAAAAATATCGAGTAAGCTTGTGTTAAGTATATACGTGCGTGCATGCGTGCGTGTGTGTGTGTGTGTATGTAGCATATACTGAACAAATTTTAATGATAATTATTGATAAGCTCGATAACATTCAGTCTTGTAATACTATTCGCCGATGCTTCGAATACTGAAATCTAATCATAAAACAATTTTTTACTTCTATAGTCAATAAAACGTAGAATAAAGTTTTATAAATATTTTTATTTTTAGCATAATTATTTAGGAAAACTGTTTATTTTTTATTATATAATTTCAAAAAGACAATGTACTAATAAGTGAAAATAATGGCTTGTGTGATTAAAAATATATTTAATTGTCGTTGTTATCATCATGAATAACAAAATTTTTTATCAATATTATATAAGAGCACTTATTAAAGTTAAAAATATAGAAGTTGATGCTATTTTATTCTAATGGATAGTATTGGAAATTTTGTACATTATTAATTCGAATATCGTATTAATATCGAATTCAAAATAAGAAATTAATTTTTATATCGAGAAAGTGTCTTATGTAATTATAGTTTACATTAATAAAGTAAAAACATATAATTAAAAGTCGTATGTTCTATAAGAAATGTATAAGGTTTGTTCTATTTACGTAATTAATTTTTATGAAAATATTCCACATACTTCTACTTTATTAATCACGAGGCTTAATCTAAATCACGCGAAATATCACTTTAACTTGCTATTGTGAAATTCTCCAAAATATCTATTTATGATGTTTTCACAAATATACACGTGCGAGCAACTGCTCGTTTATCGACAATTCTATTATTTTACATTTAAGATGCAGAAATTAAATATCATTGTTATGATATCATAATGAATATCATTATTATTAAAATCTCTTGTAACTTGTGCCACTTAAAATATAATGATATATTAATATAAAATTGTCTACCTATTCAATACAATAATAATTATCGAACATAAATAATTAAGCAATGCCATCCCTCACTGAATTATAAGCCGCTTGTTTATAAATAAATTATTGCTGGATACCTGTATAAAAAGTTAACACTCTACTCGTAGTATTAAAATATTTATTTAAATAATAACATTTTTCGTTTCTCTTCAGACAAAAAATAAGCGTGGAGCTCGATTAATTCGGCTAAAACAGTCTTTTCCGACGTATTAATGGCAGTCAACTAATGCAAAATCCTGGCCTATCAATGCACTTACCGGATGTCCTCGGGAATATTTCCTGTAAACCCTCGCATAAATGTCCTCCATGGGCAGGAAGAAGGTGATCTGGCAAATGCAAAGGTAGTATCCGGGCAAGTAACCGTGCCAGAGGGCGGAGAGGGTGAGGGTAGCCGCCGTTCTCAGGCCACGATGCGGGAACCTTTTATACACACACACGGCCATCCAATATTGCACACAGGTGTTCCACTTCTTCATGGCGTCGCGCACCAGGATGCACTTTTCCACCTCCCACACGTTCATGTTATGCACCGTCTCGAAATCCAGTTCGTGGGGTTTAATCGATCGGGGGTCGTTGGATCTGTCGACGAGTTGCAAATTAGACACGGAATCAGGAACTTTTGTGTGCTTGTATATTTTGGAAGGCTTGGCATGGCTTTATACTTTTTATTAAATCATTACTCGCAAGTTTTACGTAACGGGATTGCTTTTAAACATGTGATTCGTAAAATCAGCTCATAAACGTCGTATTATAAAATTTACTATTAAATATAGACTGATACAATGCAATACTTATGCAAAACTTTTGTGTTAATTGGCTCAAACAGGGCCTATTCTTTCAAAGTAATTAATTTTATGAAAAACAATGGTGAGAGTCGTATCGAGGGTCTGAAAGGAGAATCATAAATGGTCGATACTTCTACTCTATTACCGTTACGATGTCATTGGACATAACGTACGAATACGAAATAACAAGGTGGTCGAAAATAATTGCAAGAAAATTACCCTCAAAATGTTTAAAAGTTTAATTAAGTGTTGAAAAATCATTAAAAATTTTGTAATGAGTTAATAATTTCTTCAATTGGTGCGTTTGTCTAATTTCATAATTATATATAGAGATTTATATATAGAGAGAGTAGTGCCATCGATGATATATCTAATGTATCGTTAAATTTAACAAAACACAGTGCATCTATATAAAGAAGTATGTTAACGGATGTCGCAAAATCATGTACCATCACGTAAATTGTTTATTCAAGTATACGAAATATCAATGGAATTTTATTTGCATGTGTTTTGTTTTCGTTTTTTAAAACTGTATTTATAATTTTTAATTTAAATTACGAAGAGCATATATTTTCAGTATGTCTCCCGGGTAAAAAATAATACTCTATAACTTGTTGAAATACGACGAGAGTCTGCCGCATTAAAAAAACAAACTAGAAAAATAAAGCATCGATTTATTAAAACTACCATTTAATATTAAAGGAATGCTTAGTAGTAGTGGTATTGTAAGTCCCAGTGGCAATAAATTTCAGTTTCGAACGATTACGAGTAGCGTATAATAAAGCAAACTTTAATATTTCGCATACTATGTACTCACAGTGCTATTGTAGTCTTGTAATCCTTAGGGCCAAGGCCAGACACGGGCTCGCATTTGGTCGGATAAGCACCCAATCCGGCCATTTGGCAGACGCACTCGGACAGCATCATTCCTATATACATCCGCATACGAAAGGTGACGAACGTCGGATAAATGTACCAGCACCTGTAGAGGAACGACCTGTCCGCGAATTCATCCGTCAGTGAATACTAAAAAGCGAATGCCAAGGCATTTGATTACGATTGCAATTATATATACATTTTATGTCAATTACCTTGGCGGGGAAGAAAAAGTTTGACAGGAGGAAGCAAAAGGTGAAGCCACTGATTTGAACGAGCTTTTTATAAGTGTGGCCCCAGTGATCAGCTTTGGCTGCGAACGGACGATGCAGCGAGTCCCAATATGTTCGATATCGATAATAAGGCCCTATAAATAAACAAAAATTGCAACCCCTCGATCTCCAAACTGGCATTTACGCTTAAAAGTACTGCGAGGAGAGTTATGTGTATATATATATATATATATATATATATATATATACGCGAATATAAAAGAGGCCCTTTCAAGTTAAGAGACTTTTCAAATTAAATATTTGCTGTATTTTAATAATATAACGAACACTGCTTATATTCTGTACATAGAGTCGAATCGAATTGAACTTTTGCAAATTGAATTTTTAGGACATTTTACGAACAGTACGGCAGCATATTTGTTTAAAAACATAAAAAGCGATAATGATCCTAACAATTATTAAATTTAAAAATAATTGGTTGCCGATAAAGTAGATTGCATACGGGTATTTATATTGATTATTTTATTCTCATGAAATAGAAGACATATTGATTTCACCCGGGTATGACTAAAGCTCGGTCGACTTGTACAAACTATAGGGTTTCCGTATGCATAATTTCGATGCAGAGGAAATAAAAAATTCGGAAAATGTCCCAACTGAAGTGAAATTGCCAAAAAAATCTATTCATCGTATCTGGTAAGAAACGATTCAATGTTACATTAGGCGTACATCAATAATATATAATAAATGACAAATGTTGATTTTTTCTATTTTATACATTAATTTTACAAAAGACAATGAACGCATATCTAATTAAAGGTAGTATATATGTCGATTAGTTTTTCTCTGTTACGTTTTACTTGAAATCAACAATATTTTAAAAGAAAATTAAAACTGTTCTTTTCAAACATAAGTAGTTCGAATTTCATATAAAGCACTTGTATTATACAAGAAATCCTTTCGATGCCCAAATTATAATAGCTGTAGTAGCATTGCCAAGAGTTACTGGGAATTAGTTACTTCTTTCATGGTAAATCCATTTCAACGATTGTGTAATATTGAGTATAAAAGTAAACAGTATTTTCTTTAAACGAGTTAAAGTTGATACTTTTAATACATAATATTATGCAAATTCATAAAATTTTGGCATATAAATATAAATAAATTTCAAAATATAATTAATATCCGTTGGTTCTGTCAGTTACATTTCAAATGTACGTATAGTTCACTGACTTTTCATACTAATAGCTTTCAAATTTTGGTAATTTAAAAACCGTGTAGAGTGAATTAACAAGTAACTTCCTATGCCGTATTCACAGAGATTATTAACACTTTTTTTATATTTAATAATCCATCGGTTTCAATAATAGTCTTATTTTTCTTGGACTTCATCCACGGGCGTTATCCTATGTATCTTTATATTAAAAAAATCAGACAAACTACACGGTAATTCATCGACTAGGCAAATTATACAATCGACTGTTCAGTGTCGATCTTTCCGATGGAAAACGAACAAATATCAAAAGGACCCCAGCACTCGTAATAATATATAAGCTAGAAGAAGCACTATACCGAGCGAGTGGCAAGTGGACTCTGCAATGACACGAAGTCGAGCGATACCTCGAAGTTGCAAATAAATGTGCCCCTGTCGATGGCGCATTTCCTCGCGTCTGTGGTCTACGCACCCCTGCCTCCCACTTGTCTTTTTATCACAGAAGTTATTGATGATAGTAAGACTAACCGGTTAGGACGCCGATGTAGCTGAATGCGTAATGGAAGACGTCGAGGAGGCCAAGCCTCGCAAGGGCGGCGGAACTTATGCCCTGAGGATCATCTTGAGGCGCCGTTGTTGCGGAGTTCACCTCGAAAGCAAGTCCGGCGAGCTTCAGCGTCAGCATCATCTGGACGAGGTTCGCATGGCCCGGGGGCGTTGGCAGTCCGAACCACTCCGACAGCCGGAAGATGACGAGCAGGTAGAAAAAGGAGAAGAAGAAGCTTACCAGGTGGCTGATCCTGCAACGGACGTAGACGAGTATCATCAGACCCTGACTCTTCCTTACTTACTTTGCCTCGGTACTCGCTGTTCAGTACTCGTCCGCTTCACGGCCTCGAGTGAATTTTTTTTATCTTTGATTCTAGTTGACGCGAAGTGTAAGGATGAGAAAATCTACGACTGGCAACTTGTGTATTTTTTCCTCACTTCTTGCTTATCTCACTCGAAAGGAGATAGTAGCTTTTTTCATCAAAATCATCGCACTATGATTAAATGACAATTATAAGTTAAGAATGAATAATATCGTGTTGCGTTTTTCTTTTTTCAATCACTTTAAGTACGTAAAAAAGTAGGGATGCAAGCAGCGTAGTTAACCATTTGAATTTTTATAGTCATTTGCTTTATATATAATAAAACGACTATATATTTTTTGTAGATTGACATTATGTGCCAATTTCAAATACGACGGCATTAATGAAATTATAGGGAAATTGATAATTATCGGAAGGATAATGTATATTAAACATAAATACAAATTTATAAGAAGTTAAAGTTTAATGTATTATTACGATTTCTACTAAAAGTCAAGAAAGCAAAGAGTTTTAATATTTACATTAAAAAATCAAGCAGATAAAGGAGTCACCGCGTAACAAATACTTTTCCAAACGTTTGTAACTGAATTTTTATTCGGCAAATTTAAACTGATTACAGTTGTTCTAATCATTGGAAATTAAAGTGACGCTCATATAGTTGAAACGTAATGCAAAAAGCACCAAGCAGCGATCGATTAAAAAGTATAAGCAACCGAATTACGGGTCAATATATTCTCGCATATTTGCATAGAAAAAAATGAACGTTACAAAACAAAGCAATTCGAATGGAAATGACCGAAGAAGCATATTTGCTCGCAAGGAGGATCGACGGTAAACAAATATTCCGGTAAAGCCTCGGCACTCAATTGTCCCATTTACTAAGAAATTAATTCACCGATTGGCCATTCGGAAGTCACTGACGAGAACTTAATATCCGTTCGCGCCTTGTTGCCATACTCGAGAGAACAAACTCAACATGGATAATCGGTTAGCAAAATTAAAAAGTCCAATCGTCCAACCAACTGGATGCCGCAGTGCAACGATTATACAGTCTGGCCAAACAAACAATAATCGAACGCTGGCTTACTAACCTGGGCGACAGCTGCGTGATGATTAGAGCATTGACGAAGGTACTTATCAGGGGATGTATCACATGGGTCTTGCTGACCAGGACGACGAGGAAGAGGCCCAAACCGGTCCCGGCCCACTGCCGCGAACGCGGTGACTCGATCTCTCGGTACACCTTGCCGAATCCGATGCACATCAACAGCAGCCCCACGTAGATGAGGTCGTCCAGCAACATTGTGCCGTTGCGTCTTAAAACTTGCGCGTCGACCTATCGGTAATGTCTGTTAATGCGAAGAGGACCAAAAATTAAAGCGAGCCTGAGCGCCGTGACGCTTCTTTCCTCATCCATTTAATTAAATTGAGCAAGGGTTGGCCTTTTATAAATTTCGTGTTCTCGCCGACCTGGCGAGGCCAATGCAATCAGCGGGAGTCCAACCAATCTGGTGCTCCATCGAGTCCAGGTATAATGGCGGTAAGACTTTGATTTTTATTTTATCGCGCATGCCGTCCAAACCAACTCCACGGGCTTTTAATCTATTTATGGATTTTTTTTTAACGATTTCAGAAAATTACCGACTCTTTTAACCTACTTTATAGATTAGTTAATTGCGCTATATTCTGATCTCAGTTAAAATGTATTATAGACTACAAGCTAAGCCTTCATTTTATTTTAAGAATTGTAAAAAATATTTGTCTCATCGGTAGGTGAGAGAGTCAATATCAGTAGATTTTAATAAACATCAATGACAAAACTATTCTAGTCCAGTGCCACCTTCTAGGCCATCAAAATACTTCGATTTTTTTTTTAACGAGAAAATCAATAAAAATTGTAAAAGTTAATAATATTTGGATATTTAATGCGCGCGTGTGTGTGTACATTGAATATATAGTGTCTTTTAAGCTGTGACCTTATCTGCGTGATTTTGATTGAAAATTAATAGCGAACGCTTTTTAGATAATAATAAATATTTTTAATCTATGTTGGTTTTGCAAAACTTTCATAAACATTTCGTCTTTTACATTATTTACGTGCGATTAACTTTCGTTTGCACAATTATTTTAAGAATATTTTAGTTTATTTTAAGAATATTTAAAGAAATTCAGTAAATTTAAATACTAATGGCCTCGGCTAAATATACATATTACATAGTTCACAACAACACCAGAAGTTGACAAATATATTATATATTATATATTTATATACTTTATTGGCTCAGTCTTGCTTTGCATTATTCTTCATACACATATTTTTTATGCTCATTACAACGGCTGAAAAAAATTTGTTATTTAGACATTAGAATAAGTTATTTTATTAATTATAAGAGTTAATAGCTTAATGGAGCAATCAATGCTAAAGCCAATACAATTAAAACAAATAAATATATTTTATTATTAATATATATTTATTCCAAATTAAGAATTTTCAAATAAAAAAAATGCGAGGGAATTTTTCTTATTTACTTACTTTCTTATCTTTTTTCACTGATCATATTTCATAAAGCATAATGAAATGGATAGGGTTGAAAAAAATAAAAGTACTCCAATTTTGTCGATTCAAATCATTATTTTTTATTAAAGCGATGATTGTTATAATTTCATAAATTTATTAAACGAAAAATGCAAATTCATATCAAAATAAATAAATAATACATGAATCAATGATGAATTAAAAAATAGCATAATACATCAATCAATGATGACTTAAAGAATAAAATAATACATGAATCAATGATGAATTAAAGAATAGAATGATATATGAATTAATGATGAATTAAAGAATAGAATAATACATGAAGCAATGATGAATTAAAGAATAGAATTTTTATACTGATTTATTTATATCTCTCGTGAAATAAACTGTTTTTTTTTCTTTTGAATTTTACCAACCATAAAGCGAGGAGCAAATTTCATTTAGATAAATGAATGGTATATCGCATATTCTAATTAAAAGAAGTATACTATATTCGAATAATATTTAGTATTCATAATATATATTTATAAAAGAAAATAAAAATCCATTCCTGACTTAAAAAAAATCGAATAATAATTTATTTTGCAAATATCTATTTGAATAAAATTCGGGAAAATCCTATAGATTTGAATAGATGTTTGCATGAACGTTCCAACAATAAATCTGTATATTGAAGTGAATTGAATGGCGAAATTTGTTATTTCTTTAATAATAAATAAAATAATTTACTCATTCATATTTTAATTTTAACATCTTACAAACTATTTCGACAAATGGTATACAATTCCATACTAATTATTTTTAATTTCAATAGTATCATCAATGTTTTGATTGTTGTTAATTTTTGTATTAGACATTTATGTATATATAATAATAATTAATATTAATAATATTTTATAAGTAAACTGAAGTATAATCATGAAAAAAAACTGTTGTTACTTAATGCATTGTGAGTGTTTTTTATATTAAAACTTATTCGGAATAAATCTTAATTTAGAGCTAAATGTGCTTTAATGATTTAGGTGCTAAAACTGCAAATTGTATTAATATGAATAGTTCCGCCCATTGAATAATAAAGTATCAATACTAACTTCTTAATCAGTTATTGGTTTCTTTATCAAAGAACTCTTTATTGTTCAGTTAATAAATGAGTTCAATGAAACTGTTATTTTAACTAGTTATGAATGAAATTAAAAAAACTTTGAGGATTTATATACATCTGAGGTTTACTTTATAGATGAATAAGTAATTAAAATTTATTTTATCTCTTTAAATTGCAAGGTAAACTTTTTCCTCTCAAAATAAAACACTTTATATATTGAATAGTTTTTTCTTTTGTTTTTATAAGTCATAAATAAAAATGCTAATAAACGTAATATTTCATAAGTGACATAAAATCTAAATTCGTATCAATTCATTATAAATGTATTTATAAAGTTCTAAAAGGTAAAGGCGAACTCGCTCGTCACTCAGAAAAAATAATCTACATTATCATATTTTGTCAATGGCTGTGAAAAAATATTCTATTTCTACCAATACACAAGCACATTAATATTCATTTTCATCAAGTGTATCGTTTCGTTATAAAATGTAATATAAAATTTGATGGGCGCTGATCGTATGATTTTCTTATAAGGTTATATAGCAAATGTCATAAGGTTGTATAAAAGAATTTAGTAAAGGTAGCGGAAGAATCACATTATAAATTGAAATTGATCCTTTTTCCTCACCTGTGCAACCGTACTAAAACACAACAATGCTATTGTGACAGCGAAAAACAAAAAAATATTAGAAACTTATAAGAAAATCTCCCTAATCCCTTTGACGGTCCACGGTGCTTCTCCAGAATCTTCCGTGGCAGCAAAAAGCCACTGTATTTCGACGAATCATCACAGAAACACGAACGAAAATCCAACAATTACAAAAGCTCACGGTAATTCGGAACAAGGAAGCTTATCGACAATGTAGGTAGCACTGTCCTCCCGCACACAAAGAGATAACAAAATTAAATGACCAAAACCTTCGTGCTCGCTTATCACCTCGACCTCGCGTGGACGTCGCCTTCTCGAGTCGTGACCCCTAGCGCTCCCTGGTCAAAGCCCACACCCCAGCAACGTATCCTTACGAGCACCAACCGTGAATATGCTCACGACGACGACGACGGCGGCGGCGGCGGCGATGGCGCGAGTCCATCCGCACGAGCGAATCTTCCAACGTGACTACCACCACCACGGAAGATGTGTCTGCGACTGGGGGACGCAACTCGACTCGCACGAGATAAAAGACTTTAGCGTGGCAAACTCAGTATAGCTCAATGCTCTACAGTACGTGGTTGGTGGAGTGCGCGTGCGGCCAATTGACAGAGAAAGAGAGAGAGAGAGAGTGTACGGGTGATTGTAGCGGTGGGGATTTGGGGGGGATGCGTCGGCGGGAGAGGGGTGGATAGATGGATGCTTCTCTGCATCGGCGCAAAAGACTTTCACACTGCCACCAACTAACTATTGCGGTAGTTTTTTCGAATCGCTGACAATTGGCTCGCCCACGAGTCTCCTGCCCTTACTCCATACCTGTCGTGCCGAGCACGACTGATGATGCGTGACTGATAGTACGACCTTTCGTCAGGCCACTTAAATCACAGTGTTGAGAAGAGACATTGGAAGAGACGAGAACTATAGCGTGAAACTGGTGGTCTCCAATGTTAAAATCTTCCTTTAACCCTAAAATCGAATATGACCTCGAGCCCTCCTCCTCCTCCCTGCCGCCGCCAACTCGCCAACCCATCAACCCACCCCAAATATTATTTGTTATCGGCCAAACGCAGAGGCGACAGTAGGAGTAAGCTCGCCGAATTGATATGAGCCGACGCGATTAGAACGAATGAGCGTGGCTGCGAGAATTTATTTGAGTAATCGTAATATGAATATCGTGTATTTAAAATATGTAATTCGCTGTAAAAGTCAGAGATTAATTTCCCTCCGAGGAAGTGGAATTCGTGATGGGTATAAACATTATCGACCACTATCTTGCCTATTCGCCCGTTTTCATCCAATTATCCTTTCAATCGAAATCCACCACGAAATGCAATATTTCTTGGACATCCAAGAGCCAACGAATTTATCAATTTCAAATTTATTATCTAATTTTATAAATCATTCAATATAGCTTATTTTTAATCACTAATACGATAATGTTTAATGGTCGGAAGATTTGATTCGACATAAAATTCAAGCCAAATATAACTAAATGGCTGATATACCAATATTGTACTGAGATTGTTACGCCATACGTAACAATTTCACGTGGCGTATATAACTTGTTGTCGCATTCGCTCTTTTATTACATTACGCAATAATTTTTGGAAAATTCCGGCATTGGGTAGAACAAACTGGTGTACAATTATTCTCAATTGCTTTGAATTATGTCTGAATGCATTATTATGCACGTCGCGCATCTTCGATATTAATGCATGAATGAGCGCGAGACGAATTCTAACGATTCATAGTAGTATACTATAACGAGTATAGCTAATTTCGATGAAAATTATTTATAATTTAATATTCCGCCGCTATCGTCCATAGTCTTCGCAGTAAATAGATACTTAATAATTTAATTACATAATAATTGCCTAGTAAGTAGAAATGCGCTTGCTAGGCAGCCGTAAAGGTGGATCGCACTAAAATCGATAATTAATGTTCAACTCCAAAAGATGAATAAAGCTGATAAGAATGAAGCCACTCGAGCAGGAGCAGGAGGTCCCGCTAGAGCTACGGGCACAGAGTATCGACGTCAAGCCATCCTAATATTGAAAATATTAAATAGATTCCTCGTCCGCAGGCGTTTACCAATGGCAAATAAAGTGCAAATAGCCACGAGATAATCGTCATTCCAAAATCTAAATACGTCGTCCGGCAGACCGAAGCCTGTCGAATATAACGTCTTTGCTCTTCATTTTTGCACATTGTCATGCGAGGAGGCTGCGGCTGACGCTGCAACCGTGACTCTACCCCAGCGGAAGTACCGGAGGTGTGCACTCTGATATATCGCTTCTGTCTACGCGTTCGTTCGATTTTAGTTTTAAGAGAATTTTTGTGAGACCTCGCGATCCCGATGAACGCGGAGCGCTAGCAACTTACGTATCAATGTCCGCATTCTATAAATAGCTTCGTTCTCAAGGTCCGCGATGCTGTTCCTGTAAATAGTTAATGAGGCCTGGCTTTGCTGGCTCGCAAATTTTTCTTGAAACGAGAATCGATGATTCCACCCATTTTATTTTTACGTAAAACAGAAAATCAATTTTCACTAAACATTATTATTAGTGTTGTTGTTGTTATTATTATTATTATTATTGTTTTGTTATTATATAGTAGTAGTAGTAGTATAGTAGCAGCAGCAACAGCAACAGCAATAGCAATATTATTATTATTTTCTTTAAAAGATATTTGTTTTGACACGTTTTTAAGAATTGCTTCATGTTACTCATCATCATTGCACAATTTTATAGTTACATAAAAAGTTATATGAAATTGATGGCATTTTTAATATTTATAATCGATGAAGCGATGAAATCAATATTTAAATAAATTCAATATTCAGTACATTGTAAACATGCATTGGTGTATGAATGATGAAAATAAGATAAATAATATTATATTATTATACAACGAGAAAATAAGCGAATGGATTAGAAATATGTGTATTTATTTTGAATTTTTTGTTTATGAAATCTGAATGATAATTAATCCTCTAATCTAATTACGATTATCAAGGATAATGGAACTAATTTTTCAGAAATATTCGAATATCTTTACTATGCTCATGTTCATGTTTACAATAAGCTACTGTTTGGGATTCGAGCAACTTCGAAGAATTTAAAAATGGTAAAGTACAAGCTCCCGGACGCTTATGTTTGTAAACATTGATTCTTCGAATTCTTAAATAGTCTAAGCCTTATTGTCTAACGTTCTACAATATTTCCGCATAGCAACGATTGAAAATCCTCGAACCTTTCAAGGCAGTGTCCTGGACTTCTCGAATATTCTGGAGCTCAATTTCTGACGTAATCAAGATTTTCGGCTTAGCAATAAGCCCCAGTACTATTGCCAGCTTTGTAAGCTGCCACGAGAATATTTAAGAGCAGCTCGCAATGCACCGGAGCTCACTGTATTTTTATCTATCATTCACATTAGTTATTGCTCACAGTAATTCTCAATCAATCAGATATCAGTTTATACTCACACAGCCACTAAACTCCGCCGTATACCAGTCAATCATATTTAATATATACGCACATAATTCTGTCAGACCCTGCAATAATAAGTTAGTAAGCCAACAGTGAAGCCATAATAATTTATAACCATTTAAGTGCACCATATTAAAGCAGTCAAGAGTGATGATTACATTTCAATAGTGAATACTAAAATAGAAGCGCACCACCTACACAATCATCATATGATTAGGTAAGTCATGAACCTCTGTTAATTTAATTAAAGAAAGACAGATATTGGATCGCGAAGCTCCCGCGAATGGCTGATGGTGTATGAAAAAACACCGGCTAAATGGGTAGATATTGGATTGTGTATTAGATAGAAATTGTTACGGGTTGTATGCAATCCGCCAATTCCATGGCTATCAGCGGTGGTAAGACAATATTGCCTCACCTGCTTTGACCGTTGTTTCTTAAAGTCGAAAAACGTGGCTTGGGATGACGTACTGGCTCCGAAGCTGAAGGCTGCGCACACTTTGAACGTATCCGCGGATATCGTGGTTAATAGGATCGCCAAACCGACGCGAGCTGTACTCGTTAAAGACAGAGCAACATACAGAAAGTTTCCGTTGTATATTGGGGAATTTAACAATCTTTACATACTGCGAATAATGATTCAGAGTATTTGAAACATCTGACATTAATGCAGAGTACCGGTATAATTTTTCAGCAAGACCAGTTCCAAACTTAAATTCGTATGTCTGTAACATATGACGAGGTGCGCCAACTCGAGGAAGATAGCTGAGCAAGTTTTTGGTGGGCATTGAGCCTGGTGGATACAAATTAGCAGGCAAGAATGGCTGGTCAGCATCCAAAGCTTGGAAACGCACATTTTGCATGGTGACATACGGTGATATATTCACTTCATAGACATTTTGTGCCTGCGTAATACGACCAAATGTACCAGAAGGAATGTCGATGTTATCAACGTTCACTACTTCCACACCTGCACTGCGGGGTAATGACGCGTCAGGAAAATTCAATCTGACGACTGTTCCATCAGGAAGGACGTTGGTTCCCATATGTGCGAGGAATTCACCGATTCGATCAAGGATTACCATCACGCGGGGTATCAGGGAGAGTGGGGCAGCCGGGCAGCCTCATCCGAGAATCGGTCCTTCCTGTTATCGTTGCGGATCGTATCCATGATCCAAGATTGTAGGACAACGTTCATACCGTGTAAGAATACGGTATATTGTATCTCACGTGTTCAATGTGGTGCATATTCACGTAGTTGGCGGTAGGTGGCTACGCAAAGTGGGGGAAAGCTAGACATCTCCACATTTTGGCATCGTTTAGTCACAAATCGACGTAATCCTTGGACAACGTTACATAACGGATCTTTTGTTTCGTTAGAGTTGGTGAGCGAAAAGTACTTGCTCGTGTCGAAATTATTACTAACAGTTGCCTTACTAACGTCTAATTACGTCTCTGGTGTCTGTTGGGTCTTGACTGGACTCTAGCCGAAGTAGAGGAATCGGACATCTCTTGGCCGTTGTTAATATCCATTTCTATGGTATACGATTATATGTATAAATGATAGCACTTTAGTAGACAAAACGACTAGCTGACGGTGTACGAAAAAACACTGGCTAAATAGGCAGATATTGGATCGCGAAGCTCCCGCGAACGGCTGAAGGTGTACAAGAAAACACCACCTATAAGGGCAGATAATGGATACATTACCATCACGTAGCAATACACGATGAAATACCAGAGATTTACTACCTCTTACTTTCAGTGTAACAATTCACCACCAAGCACACCATAGAGGATCAGGAGATTTACACCTACCGCTGCATGTAGTGCATACCAACGTCACGTCACAACTACCATCAAGATCTCACAGATTCTCAGCACCATCGTAGAATCATATTTATGTGTAGTATGCAAATAAATAAAGAGAAAAAAATGCCACGATACACTATGTGTTAATATTGAATAAATACGCATTCCTCTTACACTTGCCAGCAATCCTCCCGAACATCACTGGGAGATTTAGTCTAATCTTAGACAGCTACTTTTATTTGAACTAGATCATTCACAATAATCTTAAATGAATAACTTCTTATTAACAAATTCCAGTTAGATTTTAAGACGAGATAATAAACGTGATAATAAACGCGTTCGCTTATGTATGAACGTATCTTTGATGAATTTGCTCAATGTAATTAATAACAAATATTAATTATAATACTGACAAATGTATTATTTTGAAAGGAAAATAACCAATTTGAGATGATTTTTGTATATAGTAATAATGATATAATAAAAGTTAAAAATAACTTTAATAATTGAGCGTATATATAGGTTTGTATTAAAAAAAAGAAAAGAAGTATACAATATAAAACTATAATAATGTTTCCCTCTAGTTAGTACAATTTTAAAATTCCAAATAAATTATTTAAAATTAAAGTGATAATTGATGAAAAAACAATTTCCTAGTTTAATTTATTTATATTTCAATAGTTCATTATTTATATTCATAGATAGATAAAATATTTCATAAGTCTTTATATTTATTTTCCGTTATTATTCAACAAGAATAAAGAAAGGTAAGTACAAATATTGAGATTTTAGAAAGGATAACAAATATTCGCTTTTTTAGTTTTTACTAAAAAAAATTAAAGATACTACAATTAAACAATAAAATATCTTTTCATATTTGTTAGTTTTTCAATTTAAAAACATATATTATCTTTAGAAATAATATCTACTACTAGCATATATATTATTTTTATAAAATTTATAGGCTTGGATTATTACTTTCAATATTTAAGAATCATTTATTTTTTTCTTATTTCTTATCGATAATTAAATTGTTTCGTTTAAAAATCTGTTTTACTTTTGGGTGATGGTGAATTGATAATGTATAGTAAACAATTTTATTAGTTAATATAAATACGTTCAAACACTTGATCAGTAATTACAAACACATTTGTTCTTCCTAATAAGAAGTATGCGTTTACAAAGAAGAAATTTATATTTCCATACCCGTTTGAAACATAAATCCAATGCTTCAAATGTCCTTAATATATTTTATTTAACTATGCATCTTAATATTGTTTTACATTTTTGCAAGATTTATTTTGAGAAAATTATATCTCCACAGCCATACATTTGATTTCAATAAATATTAAAAAGTGATAGAATTCAAAGCAACGTTAATTGTTTACGTAAAACGTGAATAAAAAAATGGAAAAAATGTAGTAAAAATATTCTAGGTTTTTTAAAATAATAAAACTGCGGTAAAATTTTATTTAAATAAAAATACGTGACATTTACTTTCAAATAAGTCAATATTATATATCCTTTCACAAATATATATTTGTACATACGTATTTATTGAAAACATGACTATTAATTTACAAATATATTAACAAATTAATAATCTGAAAAATATATATTTTTAATCTATTATTCTCAAATATAATAAAATAAAAACGGATTTTTGCTTGAGGGGTTTACGGATCTTACAAATAATAATAAACACATTTCATGTTTTTCACTTTCAACATTTTTTTATTAGAAATCACGTAATAAAAGAAATTTCTCAAATCGCGGCTTCCTTACGTTGCTCGGAGAATTCTTAATTAATGTTGAAAACGTCGATATTTAACACTTATTGACAATTTCGAGAATTACTATGGAAGCTTCAGTAATTTATACCGAAATTTGTTCGCTAACTTTTGTAATTTTATAGCGATAGTTTTCTCATATTTGTTATTAAACGATAAATGCTACTTCATTATTTAATTATACAAAAAGTCATAAACATACATAACATTCTCGTCATCATGTTTCCAAAAGTACAAATTATAAAATATATACTAATTAATTTGTATTTTCTTTTCGAAAACTTTAGTATAAAGAGTAGCTATAAAATAAGGATAAACCTCGACTAGAAATTCCCATTGAAAACGATAACAGTTGTCAATCATTTTTCGCAAGATTTTAATTAATGAAAGTTTTAAGAACATGTACTAAATTGTTAAATTAAAAAATTGTAGAAATATGATAAAAATCGTATATTATGAAAACCTTAAACTGAAAGTCACACAATTTATTTAATTTTAACAAATCTATTAGATAGAAACTTATTTATTTCAACTCGAGGATGTAATAAATGTCATCTGCATTATTTTCTTTGTCAAGCAAAAATGAACGAAAAATGATTTCTTGAATCATCCACAATGAAAAGCCTTTATCCAGGTTGTAGGTTATTTTCTTTGAAGTTTCGAGATACAAAGTGTACAATGATTGGGATTCTTAGTCTAGGCAAAAGCATTTGCTTCAATCTAAGTTCTTTTGCCTAAAGCTTTCTGCGTCATTTCCTTCTGCTTTTGGGCAGCCATTTCCTTAGCTTTCTTCTCATCCTCTCTCTTTTTAGCTGCTTCCTCTCTTTGCTGCTTAATAATAGCAAGTCTTGCCAAATCTGCTCTAGCTTGGTCTGTTTTGCCTGCAGCATGTAATTTTTGATAGTTCGCCTTTGCTCTTTCTTTTTCCAATTGCTCCCTGAAAATTCAGCAAATTACTGAATTTATAAATTGCATTTATCAATTATTTTCAATAGTTACTTTTTCTATATCTAAGATCTTATAGAATTTATTAATGTTAATATTTTATAAATTAAATACTGCATGAATGGCATTTAATAATTTAATTTAGTTTTATTTTACTAATTAATTTTGTGAATGATTCAATTGAATAAGTTCATCTTAAAATTTATTTAATATCGCGGATTCAATTGACGTTATAAAAACATCATTTTTATTTCAATTACCTTTCTCGTCGGGATAGTTCAGGCTTTGAAGCATTTGCGAGTGCTTCATTTAATTGTGAAAGTTTCTTTGCTTTTTTTTGTACCCTGTTTGGATTTTCCACTTGAATTAAATTTTCCACTCCTTTCGCTTTACTCTGAAAAAATTATAAAAAACAATAATTTATTATTTATAGAATAAAAATTTATGAAAAAATTGTAACTAATTATTTGGATATTCATATAATATTTTGTCAAATTTATTATATTTACTTTAAGTTTATAAATCAATAACATTGAATGTTTTAGGAATTAATTTTAGACATTGTTTTAAGATTAGATTTTTTTTACCTCGGTATCAGACTCTGATTTACTGTCACTGTCATCGCTATCTGATTCATCATTCTTCCCACCAGCAGCTTCATCTTCTTCGTCACTCGATGTATCACTTACTTTATTTTGCTAAAAATTAACAATAATAAATATTATATATAAATTAAATGAAAAAAAGGGATGAAGGAAAAGAAACTATAATAAAATTTAATAAAGTGTTAATTCAGGTTGGATATTTATAATGCATACTCTTAATTTTCGTTTTTCTTCTTCTTGTCTGCGCTGCTCTTCTAATTCTTCGGGATTTGTGAAATGTCGGTTGCGACCTTTATGATTAATGAATTTTCCTGTATCGATCAAAATATAAATATGATATTTTTAATGAGAAATTTTCAAACTACAAAAAATTAAATTTAAATCATTAAAAATATAATTTAATTTATCTTGGATATTTGTAATTGACAGAGTCACTATAAATCTGAGCATATATCTTTACAGATGAAACAAACATAGTAAATGTTTGCACAATAATAAAATTTATTTCGTTTTATATATATCAGCTAACCAACAACTTAGAAACTGATATGGAGCCTGCGAGTAGTTAGTACACAAACAATGAACATATTAATGCATAGAAAAGAAAAATAACGTTTAAAGGGAGAGTAGCAATGCATAATAATGCCAATAATTGTCACCAACATAAAATTACAAAAGTTCAAATTAATAAAAAAACTTAAAGTTAACGACGTTTAATAATGCTTACGAAAAATTAATATAGATTACATATATTATGGTTGTTTGTGTGCATGTTTGCGCGTATGTGTGTGCGTGCGTGTTTATTCGTTTGTTTATTTATTTCTATGAAATTATGACTTTTATAAAAAAGGTTTTTCAATAATATTAAATAATAAGATAACAACGTCAATGAACAAAATTAATAAGTACGGAAAGAAAATAGCCGCTCGAGCGAGTGAACTTACCAAAAATCTTCATTAAAAGCGTAAATGACAACTACGATGAAATTAAATTTAAACGTGAGAAATAAAAAGTTAAAGGAAAAAGGGAAGAGCAAATGTTAATCTATATTTTCGAATTGCATGAAACGATATTTCTTACTAGAGGTTAAAAGGTGACATTGGAATATCATAAAAACATTCAGAAAGTAAATAGACTAAAAGTACTTAAAGCATTGAGAGATAATCTAGCCATTTTGATAATTGAGTAAAATTTTCGAATTCATAAAAAAAGAAGAAAAAAAATTGAACGGAGAATAAAGGAAATGTTGAACCATTCGCGCCAAAACCGTGCTCATCCTAAAGGTTATATTTATAATTTGTAGCAAGGTGAAAAATATATTGCAATGATTGGAATTAATTCATTGAACGTTTAGAATGGAAAGATTTTTAGAGGCAAACGAGAAGTTCCCCGTCATCCATGGAGTCTCGCGCGCACATGGAAACAAGAAAGCTTACCTCGGCCCATCCTTGTCCTTTATTGATATCCTGCTTGCTTGGAAAGAATTTCGATAAATGATTAGTGGAAAGCTCCAAGGCTCTGCTTTATGCCGGAATGCAGATTCCGATCGTGTTAAGCTTGTGGCAGTAGTGGTGGAAAAAATAAATCAACGTCGCTCGCCCGTGTCTTTCTACCAATTTCGAAGCAGATTTCTAAGAGAGTAATATAAAGCGAAACTCGTTTACTTTACGTCCACAGCCGAATACACGAATAGGTTAGATCGGGGTATTACGACGGAACTTGGGACTGTGTGTGTCTCTGCACGCTTGCGCAGTGTTACCGCGATATATATATATATATATATATATATGCACCACATTGTTTTTTTATTTGCGTGGAAATGTTTGCCGAGGAGTTCGCGGAGGCACGAAATGCTGGTGCGCGCGCGCAAACGTTGAATTTTGAACTTTTGCGAATCGTGCAGAATTTGAATTGTGAACGACAGGTACAGCAGGTCTTTAAAATTATTGATTCGTCGTACCTCGCGTTGTTGGCTAAATGCATGGCTAATAGTGTCGATGCATAGGATGAAAATGACGAATTACGAATTCTTATGCTTCAAACTTTTTAAGATTGTTTGAGAAGCATTCGACGCTATTTCTGGAAATTCAGTCCGAAAGGAACTTCGAAAAAATTTCTTTGGAAACATTACAGAATGGATTGGTTTCTATTGGCGTGAAGTTGTAGACATTTTACCGGCATCATACACTTTGCCAATTTGCATGCGTGCGTGCACCCACGTACTCTTGCAACAGCTGTAGTTTCTGAAGGACTGTGCATATTTTTACGTAAATTATTACGAATAAATAGAATATACGGATAGGATGAGAATATATTAATATTATATCAAATATATCTAACTCGTACGAACTCGTGAAAAAAAATTCTTCCATAATATTAGATAGATTAAAGACGATAACAAATGATGAAATATATCGTACAATGATTTTTCTGTAATACACTACATCAACACAACCATTGATATTTAATTTTTTATAAATATGTATTGGTAATATCAAATGTGATTCAGGATGGTATTTTAAGCAATTTCGTAATTAATAGCCTTATATAACTTTCGATTACATTCATCGTTCGAAAATATTTATGCATTATAAATAAAATTCATTAAAATTATGTTTACGCTTGCAAATTATAATCACTGTAATTTCTGTAATGTCTACTAATTAAAATGTAGGCATTGATGAACATAACCTTTGAATAACGCAATGTGTATAACTAGTTTCTTAAAATTTATAATTTCGACAAAATGTATATAAAAATATATATAAATATATATACTTTTTATAAAAATATGTTATTGAATTATCAATTTATATTAATAATATTTGAATATCATATTAAAAAATCAAGATTTGTTTACAAGAAGAAGAAGAACCATTCTGATAACTATGAGAAGTTATGCAGGTTTAAGACAATTTAAGAATCAATAATATACAAGCATAATAGATATTAATTGCTGATTGCTCAGAAGTCTGAAACTCAGAAAAAAATAGAAGCTAATAATTCCACTTCATTGTATCATATTATAAGTTATTTTTACCCTTTCCTTTGTATTAAAAAAAGCATATCTTTATGCTATTTTTCCATTTTCAATTCAATAATAACAATAATTATTATCACTATACCATTTTTCCCTTAGATCGTTTATTTTTCTATATTATGAGCAGGATCATATGTGTCTATATTCTCTATATTTTCGGTAACTTTTCTGATGAAAATATTGTGATTATGATAATTTTATCAGATTCTAATAAATGATTTTGTTAAAAATACAGAAATAGCCAAATACCCTTAAGCATTACACTGGGCACATGCAAATGCTCTTTATCATAATAATTCATTGATTAGCCGAGTAGAATCTACCAATTGCTATAATTTTCCTAAATGACATTAATATTCGCTGCAAGTTCCCGTAAAGGGATGTACCATTGTTACGACCTTTATTTGTCCCTTTGTCCGATCATTAATGAGTGGTCGTTTTTGTCGCTATCATTATAGATTGACCACCCTTCCAATTCCAAGTCTATTGTTCTTCATTTCCAAGTATTGCTTTGTTAAATACCCTGGGTTAAATCATTGCAGTGATCATTATATCGAATGATGCTTAATTGTATTATATTTATAGAATATTAATCCTCCTTAGATTAATATTAAATATCTTTGGGACGACCAGCCACATTTATTGTTTAATTTTATCTATCCTGATTTAAACACAAAACCTTCGCGTGATTTCTTTAATGTTGCATTTCAATAACTTTGATGGTCCTCCTGCTTCATAAAAAATACTACTTATTCTTTAGCAAAGTACTTTAGATCTTTTAAATTCCATTTTATCTAAGTCATCAAGTTTTTATGAGCGCATCAAATGTCGTTTGGTTGAACATTTTCAATTAATATTTAAATAACAAGTCTTTAAAAAAATTAATTTTTTTTTATCCTTAAAATGCCAGTCATTTCAAGTATATCAATGCGTTTTTGCCAACCAGCGAAAGTAATAAGACAACTTTCGTATAGTGAAATATTTCGAATTCATCAATAGCTATAATTAAGTCAGAAATTTGACGAATTTTTTACGAATGAGTGGATTGGTATATGTATAGCATATCAAATTTAATACTTTTTTTTTTAAACGTATGTTTATTATTTAAATGTTATTTAAACATCGTTGTTCGCATTATATTGGCAAATTTTTTATTTTTTATTGTAAAAGAATCAGAAAGTTTAGTATATTGTGAATGATATTATATATATAGAATTTTTTTAATCGTTTAATTGTTATTTGAAATCTATTTTTACTTTATAATGCATTTATTTAACGTTAATTTTCAAATCAATTATAACAATTGAATATTTTTCTACAAACTGTTTCAATCTGTAATTCATATTTTACAATAATCCATTATCTTTTTTCAGATATTACAATAGCGTACAAAATGAAATTTTTTTATTAAACGTTTTTATTTTCTCTTCTGTTTTTCAGATATTTGGTTCTGAAAACCTTCCAATATTAGCACGATATATTGCCTTTAGCATCTCGCCTTTGTGTTCTCATATGTGTAAATCATACACAAAACACTTTTGATTATCTTGTAAATTCTTTATTATGCCTAGCTAAGTGTACATATTCCTTGAATATCGAGCACATTCTTAACCATCGTATTTAAGTTATTTTAAATAAGATCATTTATTTGTCTATTTTGACAAATAGCAGTTTCATACAAGAGGACCTAATGATGAATAAATCTATTAATGAAGTTTTTGTATTAAGACATAATACATTCAAGTGAATACATGCTACGTTTATACGAAATTTTGAAGAAAAAAAAAATGAAGGAAGAGAAAATATTTAATAGAAACATTATCAAATAATCAATATTGATATCAATAATCGTTACATCGAGGGCATCCAATAATAATCCATTGACTTGATGGTTGCCCTTCGATTTTGAATTTGAATCATAGCTCTACTCTTCTTCTTTACGATTAATATTTAACAAATGACAGTAGAGAGCTTGAAATCATTTATGAAGCATTTATACGATAATTATGTAGGAGATACAGAAGTAGCAGGATTAACTGTTGCAAAGCATCTTCCCTTCTTCTTTCTACAAGTTCGTGTACGGTATCTCATTATGTTCTTCTCATTGCCATTCTCAAAAACATCGGCCCAGAAAGAGTCAACTCTGATAACATATTTCCTTTGAATACTGTCTACGAAATACAGGTTTCGTTGCAATATAATCATTCATTATCAAACAGCTACTTTGTTTACAATGATAAATTGCCATAAGATTATACGGAATAGCTCTAGTAACGTATATATTTACCAGTTGATTTCACAATTTTTTTTTATCAGTATATACGATTATTACAGTGCTTTATGTTTTTCATAAAAATTGTTTATCAGAATCTATCGTAGACATATTTATAATAATATCCACTATATTACACTGAGGAGTCTGATTGTGCTACGACAAGAAATTATCTTAAACGTTTAATATATATATATATATATATATATATATATATATATATACATATTCAATCGGATAATTTTTTTTATTGATATTATATATTCCATGAAAATACATATGAATTAGCAGAATTGCACACAAATTAAACAAACTTTTTACGATAATTAATTCGTCATTCGAATTATTATAGGTTTAACGAATACCTTTAATGATACAGTATAGTAACTATTTTAGTCATAAATTTGGGTTTAGTCATAAGTTGTAGGAGGAGTATTATAAATAAGTAAATATAACGAACGTTTTGCTTATTAGATTATCTTCCAAAATTATTTGTACTTTTGTTTAATTAAAAATGATGCATTATTGAAAATAAAAAAAAAATAAAAAAAAAGAATATAAATTATAAAGGCAATTCTAATTAAAAATATTATCGAACATATATAATTGTAGCCACGATGGGTTTTTAATGCGCTTTTATATGAAAACCTAAAGACGGAAAGTCATATTTTATTTAACAAGTGCACTCATACATTTTTAAAAACTATTGGCTTTTATATAGATTCTCACTTGCAAAATTAATATTAAACTTATAAAGTATTTGAAGTATTGTCCGGTATCTTAAAAAACCTATTTTACTATATTACCAGTTGTTAATATTTTATTTAAATAAGGCAATCTTCAATTCTATTTTAAAAATATATAATTTCTCTTTATATTTATATTATATATTATTGCAAAGGAAAAATGAAAGACAATTTTCATAATTACATATTTTTTAACAATTTTTTAGAAAAAATTCAAATTTTGCGACAAAATTAAATTCGTAATTTTTGTTAACTCAATTGCATTTATCGAATGACATATGTTATCTCTTAATATTCCATTTCTTAATAGGCTGACTAGAATTGTTAAATGATAAACTCTGTAATCAGGTTCTGCATTATGAAGCCGAGAAGCTTCATCACCTATCGTGTTCAGAATGCATTTTATGTGTTCTTCCATTGAAATTCTTGTTGAAATTTTACATAAGAAACAATACAATTTAAAATAAAACATGAAACAATTGCGCTGTACATATGCTTCAGATTTCGAACCCAATCTACGAGAAAGTAATATTTGTGTTTGTCAAGTGCTTGCATTATACGAGAGTCAAATTTAAATATGATTATCTTTATTTAAAATAAATCAGCTCAATCAAAACATTATAAGCATTATTAAGATAATTTTAAAAGAAAATTTTATTGCATCGCACATATATTCAATGCAATTTCTATTATACATAGCTTATTATTATATATTATTAATTTGCAAAGAATCCAAAGAAAGTGTTATTTATTGTTTTTAAAGATTAAAGAGAAGTTACGTAAATAATAACATTAATTATGCATATTTATCTCCGACTGTGAAATATAATCAATTACGCGCGATTTTCACAATTCGATGTGCGCGTTTTGCATTTGGAATAAAGATATAAATATAATAGTAAATTAAAGTCAAAATATAAGAACATAGTAAATTTATAAAATGTGAACTTATTTTCTACATAATATAAATTTTACAAAATTGCGCATATGCATGTGGTACAATAAGCATTTATTTGGTTTAAACTGAATATATCTTTTGTGTTCGTGACGATTCTTTACGAGGCAATTTAATTAAGCTAGAGTGTGGAATACTATTAAACTATATTCTATTTATACACTCATGCATTTAAACATAAATTAAAAATGTTATAAATTCTTCATATTCCTGTCATTATTTTGTCCCTTTACTAGTATTCTTATTAGTTTTCTGTCTATCGGTTTCGAGGAAATACGATAAGCAATCATTTGAACACAAAAAAATGTTATGTACATATATATTTAAATTCGAAATGTTATATAAATAACATTTCCAATTTAAATAAATTAATAAGTTCAAATAATTTCTATTAAATGGAACTGAAGAATAATTTATAGTAACCAATACTTGTTATACACAGAAAAATGATTGGTTTTCCAAAAATTTTGTTAAATCAATTCGTATTATTGTTGTTAGTAATTTTTACACTAACTTGAACAAGAGTGTGAAAAAATTCGTTAAAAAATACCAATGGTTTTGTATTTAAACAGAACAATATTTTGTTGTAATACTTAAGATAATATTATATTTTAAAAAATTAATAAAATATATGTTTATGCACATTTTAAATGTCATATTTTTGCAATAGCGCCGTATAAATACTTAATCTGTACTCTTATTCTCTCATAATCCGTATATTTCGTTATGATATGCGCAAAAATATATTTATTCCTAATATTCAATAGATTTCGGCAATTGTATGGTCAATTTCCTTCTTATATATCCGAGGGACAAAATTATTTAAATAACTGCATTTGTAGTCGCTCCAATTAGAAAGGAATTTGAGGTTAGAGTAGTTGATACATTCAAATTGAGATTGAATATTGAGAGTTAGGACTCAGTTGCTATAGCAGTTTTTTTATTTACTTTTATTTATGGCTTTGATATTTTTACAATAATTACGTTTTCAATCGTATATCAATTGGAAATGCCAAAAGTCAGAAGAAGTAAAAAAGCACCGCCTGATGGCTGGGAATTAATCGAACCAACTCTTGAAGAATTAGAGCAAAAAATGAGAGAAGGTAACAATTTAAAACATATTTTTATTCTGTTAAATAAATCTTATTCATTTAATTTCTATTTGTATGAATTTTAGTATTTTATGCGGTTAGATATACGTTTCTTTTTAAATTTTCTTGTTATTCATATAAGCTGTTTATAGGTTATAAAAATCAACGTTTTTATATTTTCGTGTTGATTATATTTGTTGAGTGTATAATGTTTCATTTTGAATTGTGAATTTATTTATCGATTACAATTAAATTTATTTTTGGAATAAATATGAATATATATGATATGTCTTTATTTCGTGATATTTTTATTATTTTCATATTTATGTAACATTTATTTTCTTCATTTTGTAGCTGAAACGGAACCCCACGAAGGTAAACGTAAGCAGGAATCTTTATGGCCCATATTTAAAATACACCATCAAAAAAGTCGTTATATTTATGATCTTTATTATCGTCGTAAGGCTATAAGCAGAGGTAAAGTATTTACTTTTTAATTTATTTGTTGTAATTATATTAAAAAAATTTTTATATTTAACAGAATTATATGAGTATTGTTTGAATGAAAATATTGCTGATAGGAATCTTATAGCAAAGTGGAAGAAAGTAGGTTATGAAAATTTGTGTTGCTTACGTTGTATACAAACTAGAGATACAAATTTTGGTACTAATTGTATTTGTCGAGTACCAAAAGGAAAACTTGAAGAAGGGCGTATTGTAGAGTGTATACATTGCGGATGTCGTGGCTGTTCTGGCTGAGTATACATAAAATTTATAATTAATCGTATGAACTGGACAACTGCGTTGCATGAACGTCAAAATAGATCCTTTTAAAATCATTATAATAATGGAAGTTATAAGGATTTATTGTAAAATTTGAGTATTGCAAGAAATATATAAATAATAATATTTGCTTACTCAATACATATTTGTAAACGAAATGTTGATATAGAATAAAATTATAATTAATTGTATCTCATATAAATGTTAATGTAGACAAGAAAAAATGAATAGGAAACATCATTTTACTTTAAATAATTTTGTACTATAATGGAAATGAAATTAATAAATCTATACTTATACAATATTTACTAACTTATAATTATTGTTTTAACATTTTCAGTTTTACAATATTATGTTAAAATTATATTTCCAATGTTTCATCGAAGAAATTTTCTAAATTATTCAAAAGCTATTTAAGATATAAACATATAAGAAATAGTTTACTCAAATAAATCTTTAACACAAGTATTACAGTTATTTTATATACAAGTAATATATGTATATATAAATTATGTTTGTATTTTGGTTTGCTGTAAAATGTAATATAGTAATCAATACAATGTTTGGTAATACTTGCTAAATAATAAATAATCATTTTAATAATGAAGTACTCGTTTTCTTTTCTGACGTTCTAAAACAAAATTGTTTGTGTATTATATTTTATGTCGTTTACAAATAATAGTTTTATTATAAAAAATATCATTTATAATACTATATATATTACAGTAATATTTTTACTGTTTTTTATTGGATATTTCTTTATATAAATTCTAGATAAAATTTTTATTAAAAATCAATAATTTCATTTAGCTAGTTTAATTGTGGCAATAAAAAATCTGTATAATAATCGATTTAAAATAATCTAAGTACTGAAACTGTATCATTTTTATTGATAACAAATTAAAATAGGAAGTATAATGGTAACAATTTGAAGCTATCTAAAATGATTTACAGAGCAAAATTGTCTTTAAACTTACATACTGACTAATGTAATCGGTTACGAAACTAATTATAGATCCAAAGTATCCTTATAATAGAAACGGATCAATACTCAAAGACAAAATTGACAAAAATGTAATGGATAAATAAATTAACATTCACAAATTCTTATTAATTTAAATTAGTATATGATTTTACTTTACCTATATAAATTAGGTATGTATTTTGTATACTTTTTGTTTCATCCCAACGTACATACATACGAGATAGCGTGCGTACGTAGCGTAATGCATATCGATTTATACACGAAATCGTTAAAAGAGCCAATTTAATCTGAACTGAATGGAGTTAAATATAAATGTAAATGTAACATCTACAAATGTGGAATTCATTATTAATGTTAATTATTATTGATTAATAATTTTTATCTATTATGTAAATTTTTAAATACTTAGAATTAGATTTTCGAAGGGGTGTATAATATAAGAAAATATGATTATTAAAATAATTAAATTAAGACTATAAAATTAATTTATTTTTTTGAAATACTTATTATCATTTTATTTTATTACTATTTATTATTTTAAGATTTTTAATAATTTACGTAGATATTTATATATATAAGCACTATATATGTACTGCTGAATATAATAACTATTATTTTATAATACAAAATTTTTCTTATATAAGCACTGTATGTATTTTAATAATTAATAAATTGTTCACATGATATTAATATTGCTTATAAATATATAATATTTTGTATTATAAAAGATAGTACATTAAAATGAATAAGAGTTATTTAATTTAATTAATGTCATATTTATTTATATTTTTTCAATCCAATTAAATAATTGTACTCATAGAGAGCCATTGTTTTCTGTTATCTTCATTATAAGGCTTGCAAATTAATAAACTTATTATTAAATTATTTTTTGAGTTTCTGCACGATAAGCTTCCTTTTCCATCTGTTTTCGGAGAAAGTTTGCATGGAATTTAGGGCATTTTGAAAATGAGTGACGAAGTATATGGGAATCCTAGGTCGATTATAATTTATTAAGGAAAAAGAGCTTTATAATAATTTTATAATAGAATAATTAATATTTTATTACCAATTAATTTATTAACAAGATGTTTAATGCTATATTATTTCGAATATTTTTAATTATTGTTTTTTACAAAAGTAAATATATTTAAAATATTTATTTTAATTAACGGTATTTAACTTAGTGCATTTATATTTACAAATATAAGAATTGCATATTATTCTAATTATTACATTTATTATAAATGCACGAAAGTATTATAAATGTATCAAATATAAAGGAAAATAACCGTGTAAACAACAACATATATTTGTCGGACATTACACGAGTTTTGTCTATTCATTGTATGAGAAGGCAACATATATTTGTAAACAAACATTATATGTTTTTCTTTATAGTATATACGACATTCAGAAAAGATCCTTGAAACTGCTTTAAATGAATTACGTGAAATGCTCGTATGGGTATAGCAATTTCCAAGTTGACTACACATTTAAAGTCTTTTTAATTGACTAATTTGATCTTGGAAGTCTAAGTTGATTATAATTACATCGGTGTTGGTACTTACTTTGATCGTTTCATTTTATTTTCAGAGTTAGGCTATTAAACGATTGCCAGCCTTACCAGGCAACCTATATATAATGTACTACCGATCATAATCACCAACGCCCATATCTAATATATGTAGTGCGTTGTAACTGCCGCCTTGTTTATAAATTACGTAGCGCTGCCGAGATATACTTGAAGCATTCCACGAGAAATGTAAATGTGTTTTTCATTTGCAGGATAAGATGCTCGAATGCTTAATATCATAGCTGATATATTTGTATAATTTGTCAGATGTATAAAAATTCGAGTATGAGTTCTTCCGAACTCGCTTTTTAAAATGATATAGTAGTTTTTTCTTTTCTTTACAATAGACTTTATGCACCATACCATTGCATACTAGATAAAAACGTATTATTTAATAGATTTCATTAAGCCATATGAAATTAAATATGTTTTTTATAAACAAAATTCTGAATAATCAAGCAAATATTACATTTATGATATTTCTTTTGTTGCTTTCTCATTATGATCTTATACAACTTTTTATGGTCCTATGTATAAAAAATAATTTTTAATGTAATTTAAAATCTTTGTTTAGAAAGATTCTTAATGTAAGATGTTTCTTATAAAATTTTACACACAAATTTTGCATATATCAGTATAATGCTAAGATTCTCGATAAATTAAGTTACTAATTCGTCGAATAAGACTATATTATTGTTACGTTATGACGCGATCATAGCGTCAAGGGTATATGTACATCCATTATATGCACATCAGTAATGAACGTAGTCGATGCTTATATAGTAGTAAAAGATCAGATTAGACCTGAAATTATTAATCGTTATTTTAACAAATGGTTCGTTTTTTAAACTTATTTCATGTTATTGATGTTGTGCGCTTCTACCATCGATAATGAGGCATTATTATTTACATAAGTTTTAGTTTTAATATTCATCCACTGTAATAATTTATTATTTTACGCTGGCGTGACTAGTTTTTTCAGTTTTTGTTATTATGTATGTATAGCGGTAAAAATGACTTTGCCGAAGATCACAAGCAATGTTTGACCTTGTACGCGAAGATTCAAACACCCTATTTAAATTAGTTACTATATAAATTCACTCATGCAACTTATTTTAGATTGAGATTTACCTTACGAGGTATCCCTGACATTAGCAATATATTTTTTTATTAGGAGAAAATTTTTGTATTCGATCGACATTTGGTGCTGTAAAATGTTACTCACACAACACGAATATTTTAACTATTAAATACAACGTAATAATTGAAATCATAAGCAATTGAGACCTAATAAAAGAAAAAATAGAATTCTGATTATGCAAATTATGGAACAGAGACACAATGAAGGCTGTGCAATGATAAGGACTAAGGTGCGTGGTTATGCCACATGGAGACACGGAACGAGTCAACCGAGCGAAAGTAGTGTATGACCATGTAAGGATGGACTTCGAGACGCGACTCGGTGAAGCTATGCGTGACGACGCACATACTACTCGAACGATTGTTTATTGTTTTTTTAATTTTTAGTTTTTTCTATTTATTTAGGTTTTTAAGGACGTCGTATTATCAATATTAGTACTATAGATTAAAATAATATCTCGTTTAGTTATATTATTTTTTATAGATACAGTAATTACAGTATCAATATATGCAGAGTTAATCAAAGTTATTGATAGGATGATTATTTTTAATTATAATAACAATTAAAGTATTATTATATCTATCATTCTATTGTAATGCTACAATACAATGTTATATATAATATTAATCAGTTATAATATTATATTACATTTAGAGTTTTTCTGTATTTTTAATGTAAATGAATATGATTTATGATAAAACTGAATTATGTAGTGTAAGATGAAAAATTCAAATATTTTAGAATTTTTATATTTAAATATATATATATAAAAGCAAAATTTGTAAAAAATTTTTTCTAATATGTTCAATAATATGTTAATTCATTATGTTTTTAAGCAATAAATCTAGTTTATATTAATACTTCTAAATAGAAAAGTCTTTTTCCAGGTATGATATTTTTAAATTTATGAATTTAAGAATTGTAGTTTGAATTTATCATTATGAAATTTTATCTTTGAATAATAACTTTCCTTTAAATTGGAGTTCCTTTAAATGCAGTATTGAGTTTTTTTATTTTAATTCAAAAATAAATCTACATAATTTACAAACCGTTATGAACACGGTGTACGTATGCATATGTAATTTAAAATAATGTATAAAGAAAACTAAACGATATTTCTAATAAAATTATTAATATTTTGAAATCATTCGTAGTTATTAAAATTCTTATAAACGGCAATTGAAATAAACATTCTAATAAGCTATTAAAAATGAAAGCAGTTCCTACTATGTGTAAATTGTATTTCTTTTAAAATTGTTTTTCATTAAAAACTATTATATTAGACTTGCATAGTATAATCGCATTATTTAAAGTATTATTTTATGAAAGCATGAGTTTAATATAAATTTAAGATTGTGTCATTCTGATATAAATATTAACTAACTTTTTTGTCTAGACATTATTATTATCTCATTATGTTACCATACGTAATAGGCAAGTTCAATGCGATTAAATGTGGAATCTGTATGCATGTGTATTGTTATATTAATAAATAATATTATGTAATTTGAACAACAATATTTTCAAACGTTGGTAATATATTTCATTTTTATTATAAGTTATAAATATATGATATTAGAATTGTTGCTAATATCAATACGCTTAATTAATACAAGTATATATAAAGTATTTATAAGCTTTCAATTATACTTAAGTCGAGCTTTTAATGCAAAATCAAAACCTTTGGAATTGTAATTAACGAATACTAGCCATCTATTTTTTATAGCGAGCCAAGTAAAGCATCTAATGTAGAAAAGTAATAAATATACCCTAAACATTTTAAACATAAACCAAATCACATTCTTTTTTACGAAAGTAAACCTATTCCGTCGAGATGGAATTGGAGCCGAAACATAACCTGGATTAGATTAAAAGATGAAAGGGAGTGGCAGTATCGACAATGCCGACACATCGCGCTCCCATGAGCATTCGATCGCCTTTATCTCATCAATGACCAAGTCGAATAAGCTCGTGATACATGAACTTTACTTCGGTGTGGGTGCGTTGGGATCGAAAAGGCCTACGAGGCAGAACTAATTGGCGCATCGACGCGCCCGCGGAACCGTTGCTCTGGTCGAGGACGTTGATCTTACATTATCCACGTATCCGTAAAGTGGCGAGACTTTTCGCGGACTCGACTATATATAGTACACGCAGATCTAGCCTGTCGAGGAACGAATCTCTGAACATGCGAAGCTCCGGCACTTTATCCCCGGCTACCTTAGTTCTTTTCTTCGACGAGGCTTGTTTTAAACGGCGAAGGCTTCTCTTCTTCTTCTATTGAAGGGATGACTGGGTGCGTCGAGGACGTATAATATGTATGCTTGTACATTGAATTTTTTACTTTGAGTCTAATGTAGTTATTACAGGGCTTATATTATTAAGGTTGTGCTAAATGTGGTGAAATCAAGTCACTTCATTTTGCGAATGATCCTGGAAAATAATAGAGACGTACTTTAAATTGTTCGATTGAATTTCGGTCAACGTTTTATCGATGCTCATATTACCTATTTGCTTATTTGAATCGTATCTCGGTAATTTGAAATGATAATTCATAGCTACGCCTATTGTCACGGTTTTCAGACAACTACTTCCAATTATTACTATATACATTACCGCTTTCATAAAAGGAACGGCTGTTAATTAAAATATTCCAATAGTTATAGCAATACGCTTGTATATCTATTATAATGATTTCGTAAAAGAATAGTCGAATTGTAAAATTATTATAATTTTCATGATATTTCGAAGACACCAGGGCTGCTGTTGGTTCAGTACTGGAATCACTAACTATAGCTTCGTGAAAGTAGATTAAAAATGTTGCATAAGTGCAACGAGTCGACGTGTAACTACAGTTACAATAAGCTCATTTTCGATTTTATATGCGTGTTTCGGAAAGTATTGGCTCGGTAAAAGAAAGGTAAATTTAATTATTGATATCAATAAGAACTGAAAGTAAAACAAAAAGGAAAACAAATAAATAAATAAAAAAATAATCTTAAACATGTAATATAAAATATTTAACGTTGAAGGTTTGTTTCTTTGAAGGAATGACATAGTGAAAAAATTAAAAAAATGGCAGTGTATAAATTTATCATCCAAGTGAGAAGAATAAGATCGACGTTCGCCTAAGATAATCTTATAGCGTGCATAGTATTCAAGTATCTTATAGGTACGGTGATTGTTTTACATATTTACATATTTAAAATAATGAAAAATATAAAATGAAATACGCAGTTGTTTCAACTAAAAATGTTGTACTAGTAGCTCTTGTATTGATAATTTCGTGTTCCCTTCGTGTCAATTGTTCACTCGACATTATTAAAAACCAAGGGCTTATTATACAAAGTAGAACCAAAGTTGCTGGTACTGTGATCTCGGAGTTTGTACATTGCGCTCTAAAAATATAATAATAGCATAGTTTTCTAAATTTGGTATATTTCCGTGGGTAACAGGGGAGGACAAGCAGAGATGTCGCGGCTCCTCGATGTTTCCCGTTGGTCCTCGACTACGTTTTCTTCTCTTTTCTCCCGCCGGAGGGGCAAAAAACGCGAGAGAAGGGCAAAAAAAGCGAGGCTTCAGCCATATTTGTACCGGGATGGCCGCTATATTTTTACCATGAAAGTTTGATTGCGCGTATGTATTGTATTATATTTTATAATTCAGGATATTTTTGAAGATGCATATAATTGCCGTTATTATGTTGATGTGCCAGTGGTTAGTTAGGAGGTATTTTTAGAAATTTTAAAACAATCCCTATTAGCTATTATCGATTTTGTAATCTGTCATGAATTTTTTGTGTTAAATAATTTCTCTTTTTAAAGATAAGTAATTATACTCTTATATGTATCCTTAGATACTTCCTTTAAAAAAATTTATGTTTATATTTATTTATGACATTTTATTTAGTCGTTTATTTAGTATTTAATATTTATTTAATATATATGTAATATTTATTTAGCTATTGCAAATAATTGTTTTTGCTTAAGTTTCTCAGTTTTGTCAGTTATATTTTAATGTTGTATGAGTGTAGTGAAAAAAGATACTTAATATTCTCACAATTGTAAAAACTCCGAAATAACATTTGTAAAATAAACAATTAGGAATTAATTATATAATTATAATAGGATGAATCATCTTACTTGGATTTTATTTAATCGCATTATGTTATAATAATATTAAATGTTACCAGAGTGCGTTTTTTATATGATTAGTTTTAGATACAAATTGTTCCATTTGAAGATTTTTGACATTCTTTATTTCATAAATTATTATTACTCTATTAAAAAATTTATCCAATTTATCTTGCACAAATCAAATTCTATTTTTAAATGCGCGTAAAGTAATATGACAAGGTAGGTCGACGATCGAGTACATTGAATTCAGTTACTAACCATACTGATGAGTAATAGTAATTATTATTTGTTACATCGTACATATTTAAACTTTAAAGGTGGTTCGTTACCAGTTAAATACAACAATTAAGACTCCATGTTTTAAGATTTGTCACTTCTACATGTCTAATGTTATGATAGAACATAAGGCAAATAATACATTATAGGCTTTTCATTAATTAAATATACGTGGAGTGTTTTTAACAGTAATTGTTGCATAATTAAATACTTCATTAATCAGTTGGAAAGCTCGTGTAGAGTATAGCGCTATTTTGTGATTAAGAAATGTCTCGTAGTTATTGGTAAATATTGTGAGCAACTCACTACAGATCTTTGCACGCCACAGAAAATCTTCTGAAATGTTTCATCCGATTTCTCTTCGTATGTATTATAAATATAAACAATGCTGTAGCCGAAGATATTCCTAATTTTGTTCACATCCATTTCATGCATGCTGCCTCTCAGCGAGAGAGAGAGAGAGAGAGAGCGAGCGTGTGCAAAGCATTTATTTCATCCAAGTCCTTTTTAATCATAATAAAATTGAAGTAATGCATTTATAGGATAAAGTGCATTTCACAACGAAGCCTCAATGTACGTATTTTGTAGTGTGGACGAGTACGTTCGCGTCTAAAATACTTGCGAATTTCAATATAATGGCCTCGTTACGCTCGCAAGGCGAAATACGTGCATCCAATTGGTTGGAAAAAATGATCAGCCAATAAACGAAGGGAACAGCGTCGACGATCCGGCATTGCTTTCCATCCTTTCGTTGGAGGCTGCGTGGGAAGCCAAGCGATCGTAGTGTGATAGTAACTGCGCGTGCGCAGCCAGGCCCGAGGCTATAAAGGATCCATACTTGGCGCGGACTTGTCTGAAAACGCCGGCATCGTTTGGAGGAGCAACATCACCAGCTTCGTTTGAACGGGCGAGAAAAGCCGTTACGCAGCTTCTGTCTGAACTCTTCGTGTTGTCTGTGTGTGTGCGGGTTACCAGACAAAAAGAGAGGAGCGCGCGCAGCATCATTACGCAGGAGCGTGTCCGCTTTATTGCCGTTGCACAGCGACTAACTTAACTCCAAAATGGTAAGTTTTCCCGCTTTTTTGCTTTATTTCGTAGTTGGTTGGATCGGGAGATGATTTAAAGAGGATTTGCACTACGTTGCGAGATACTAATAATCAGTTGGATCGATGTGTTTGCGATAGCAATTGAACATGACGATTATTTTAAGCGACGGTTGAGAATCGCGACCCTTGCTTTGTTCAGGTACGCGGTGCGAGTTTGACCTCGAGAGTTGAGATTCCGTTAGGCTTGAAAATATCATTTCAAGAATAAATTTAAATTGATTATTATGGGGTTATTTGCCTCATTACGTATGTACGTATGTGAAATTTTCTTAACTATCATTATGGAATTGAACATTGTGAATTCATAATTGAATTTGTATTGAAGTTTTATCACTTCCTATGTACTGGGTTCTTAAGCTCCGATGCAAAATATTTATAGGTTTAATATTATAGATGATTTATTTGTCCACATTTCAATGTTCACGAAATGATTGTTACTGGCGAACGAACCTATTGTAGTGAAATTATTGTAAAAGTGATATTTCCAAGATTTTCCAAAATATCAGTAATTAAAATTATTTTTATTATTTTATTGGTATGTAATGAAATGCTAAATTTATATACTCCAAGACCGCATGTATTCGATATAATCCGATGCAAGGTTTGAGCTTTGAAAAGAAAATTATTATATTGTTTGGAAATATTTTCTTATTGTGGTGTTTATCTAAACAGATACGGGATATCTGGTAAATATTAGAATACTGAAATATCATTAAATCAACAAATTTTTCAAACTAGCAGGAAAATAAAATAAATACGTATACCGACATTGAATATTAAAATTCTCGATTAATTTACTGCAATTACTGAAAGATGGAAAAATTTCCAAATAAAAGTAAAGAGGACTCTAAATTAAATATTGAAAAATTAAGAAATTTTTAAAACAAATGAGTGAAAAATATAGACATTTAAATATTAATTCATAAAAAAGGAATTTACGTTTATTTCATGAACGGTGAATTGTTAATAACGAATTGAAATGTTCTGTTGCTCGTAATTGGAGTTAAACGAGACATTAAATTGAAGACTTAACGAATGAATTGATTAATTTTCATTAATTTTGTATATACCTTTTTCTGGATGACAATTAAGTTAAATTATTTAAGATCGTCATTAAATATTTAATGAAAATATATGATAATTTTTTAAACATTGAAAATTCGTTTATTTTAATGCAATGAAAATAATGTATCTGGCCAATTTTTTTTATTCCAAATAGTAGTTAATTTATTTTGTGGGCAATATGAAAATATTTTTCAAAAATTTTGACTAATATGGAGGAGTAAGTAATATTTATGAAAATATTATTTATTAATAAGAAATCGACGATGTTTTAATTTATACTATATTACTGACGCCGGAAACAAGTGTATACGCATTGATATTCTATTTATAAATATGGAGATTTCAATAAGTAATTTTTTCAATCCGTACATTTCTTAAAGTGCATTTATTAAAATGATAAAAATCATATTAAAATATTTTTTCAATCTTATAATTTCAAAGTCCTATTATTGTAAGGAATAATATTATATTTTTCAATGATTTGAAAAATAACTTTTGAGAAATATAATTACAGAATAAGGCAAGTGAAGTACAATTTAATTATGCAAGTGTCGTCGTATGTACATTATAAAACTTCCAAATTTGGTAGGATGTTACGTTTAGTCACATTAATCGTAACGTTTGCCCTAACATATTCTCATTGCTTAAAGTATTAACATTTTTTCATTATCACTTTAAGCCATTCCTTCTTTCGTGAAAAGGTTGCGCGATGGGATTTTAATACCAATTGCTTTTAAAACCATTAAATTTAACTACGCAATATTCATTTCCCACTCGTTTCACAAGCACTAAGCTAGTAATATAATTGACATTGATTTTTAATCAACTGCAGTTAACAACGAATAAATATTTAAATAAGTATTGTTGTAATAGTAGAAGAGAATTCAATATAATTACTGCTGTTATTAAAAATCTCGCCGTCTTTTCAGGCACCTTGCAAAGATCAATACACCTATGGCGTTGGTGGCTCATGAGTTTTGCCCGATAGAAATAATTATTACATCATTCGTTCAACAGACTGATTCTCATCTTAATAAATATAATTATACAAAGTATTATGATTAAATAATATAAGCAGTGTATTAATATTGCATGTAATTTTTAAAAAGTCATTGTTAAAATTACAAAAAGCTACATTGAAAAGAAGGTTCTTTGATTATGTATATAATTTTATTACGTATCGTGTATCCGGTTAAATGTATAAGGCGATAATAAGATTTTTTCCAATGTGTCATCATTATTTGTTATATTGTACGGGGAGAGCATAAAAATGCTTGGGTATAAGAAACGGTAACCTCTAGTGGAATTGGAAATTAATGTTTTATTTAGTAAATTTAATATCTAATTTAATGCGAATAAAGTCTTAAAGATTAACGCGAAAAATAAAAACCGACAAGTATTTGTATTCGTTTTACTTTAACGTGGCATTACCCATTTCCAAATGGTCGTTCAATATTTTCAAATAAGATCAGATAACCTAAATAAATCAATAATATCGCTACGACTAGCAACATACGGAGATCTTTAATAGTAATACTTAATGACAGTACACGTGATATTAATATTAATTTAAACTAGTATTAATTAATAAATATATCATAGTCATTAAAATGCATATCGAGTTCGTAAGGTTTCAGCGCAACGGTAGAATTTCCATCTTACCTTACGATTATACGATAGACTCTACAAACAAGTCACACACCCATTTATCATCATATATTTATTATGCATTCGCAAAACACGCTTAACGAACAGTAGTGCATCTTACGTAAGAGCAAGTAAGCTTAGATAAGCTTAAATAAGCCTGGAAGTCACGAGTCACGGGTACCTTCTTCGAGGTCGCAATTTCGATAGCTACTAATACGTCCTCGTTTCCTTTATTAAATCTGCGCCACTTTTTTTTTCAGCGCGAATGTATTTCCGTGCACGTCGGCCAAGCCGGAGTTCAAATTGGAAATGCCTGCTGGGAACTGTACTGCCTGGAGCATGGCATCCAGCCAGACGGCCAAATGCCTTCCGACAAAATGCTCGGCGGTGGCGATGACAGCTTTAACACCTTCTTCAGTGAGACCGGCGCTGGCAAGCACGTGCCCAGGGCCGTATTCGTTGACCTCGAGCCAACCGTAGTCGGTAGGATTCATAGTTGATTATGATACAAGCCCACGTGGGCAGGAGGGGGGGGGCGTGGTGACGAAGGTGATTGTTCTTCTAGTGCATGGAATTGCGGGAAACAAATTAGTCGAGTTGAGAAATATTAAAAATTAAAAGATTTTTTTACTTTATTAGAAAGAAAAAAAACCAATGACAAGTAAAACGATGGATTTTTAATTAATCGTTTCATGCTCGCTTTAGATGAGGTTCGAACTGGCACGTACCGACAACTCTTCCACCCGGAACAACTCATTACGGGCAAAGAGGATGCAGCCAATAACTACGCCCGAGGTCACTATACCATCGGCAAAGAAATTGTCGACCTGGTACTCGACCGTATTCGCAAACTCGCCGACCAGTGCACGGGTCTTCAGGGCTTCCTTATCTTCCATTCGTTCGGCGGTGGTACCGGCTCGGGTTTCACATCTCTTCTCATGGAGCGACTTTCGGTCGACTACGGCAAAAAGTCCAAGCTCGAATTTGCCATTTATCCAGCACCTCAAGTGTCCACGGCCGTAGTTGAGCCCTATAATTCCATCCTTACGACCCACACCACCCTCGAGCACTCGGACTGCGCGTTCATGGTCGACAACGAGGCCATTTACGACATTTGTCGACGTAATTTGGATATCGAGAGACCGACCTACACGAACCTCAACAGACTGATCGGGCAAATTGTCTCCTCCATCACAGCGTCGCTGCGTTTCGATGGTGCCCTCAACGTCGACCTCACCGAATTCCAAACGAATCTCGTGCCCTATCCTCGCATCCATTTCCCCCTGGTTACTTATGCCCCGGTCATTTCGGCCGAAAAGGCCTACCATGAACAGCTGTCGGTGGCCGAGATCACAAACGCCTGCTTTGAGCCGGCTAATCAAATGGTTAAGTGCGATCCGAGACATGGCAAGTATATGGCCTGTTGTATGCTCTACCGCGGTGACGTCGTACCCAAGGATGTCAATGCCGCGATCGCCACCATTAAAACCAAACGCACTATTCAATTTGTCGATTGGTGCCCCACCGGTTTCAAAGTCGGCATCAATTATCAGCCACCTACCGTCGTTCCTGGTGGGGACTTGGCTAAGGTATGCCTGCCTCGACATTTTCTTAGCCCTTTTTATGGAATCTCCTCTAAATTATCAGAAATATCGTTAACAACCACAACGATAACGGCAATAATAATAATAATAATGATAACAATACGATTTCATCATTATCGTATAAGATTTTTTCTTTTGCATTGCATTGTTCTAAGTGTATTAAAAGATATTTTATGACATTTTGTAGGTTCAACGCGCTGTTTGCATGCTGTCGAATACAACGGCCATTGCCGAGGCTTGGGCCCGTCTTGACCACAAATTCGATCTGATGTACGCGAAACGCGCCTTCGTTCACTGGTACGTGGGGGAGGGTATGGAGGAGGGCGAGTTTTCTGAGGCCCGTGAGGATTTGGCCGCCCTTGAGAAAGATTACGAGGAGGTCGGCATGGACTCGATCGAGGGCGAGGGTGAAGGCGCTGAAGAGTATTAAATTTCCTTAATTTTGTGAGGAAAATGACTGCAATAATCGTTTGTTAGCGAGAATTAAGAATGGTTTTTTTTTTTAATACAATTTTCAATAATGGTTGATAATGATTATGTTATTGTAAGAAAAGAAATGCATTAAACTTTTTACTCTGTAATTTATTGTATGCCAATTACTTTTTCGGTACCCTTCCACATCATTAAATCGGTTGACATTTCGATAAAAACTATATATTATTATAAATAATTTTTACATACGAATTTTATAAAGCTTATTAAATCAATAAAATAATTATAACATCAATAATTGAATAACTTGCTGTTCATTTATTGTTACTATATAAATAAAAAAAAAAAAAAAATATAAATAAAAAGAAATCCGTATAAATTTGTAAAATTGTCGTTTTCTTAATATCTTGTCACATTTATACAATTTATTTATAATGAACTAACAAGTGGCTGAAATTATTTAATGTCATTCATGTTATACGATGGATTCTTAGTTTTTATTATATTGTATGTAAAACTCCTTAACGTTTTTCAATATAAATGGTAATTTAACATTGCTATATTGTAAATTTCACTTTCATATAAATTTTGATTTCAATTACATTACAGATGACAAAAGAGTGTGTTTAACATTTTACATAAATTTCTTTTTAATTGATAGCCCTCTTATAACAAAGTTCAATTGCAAATCTTTATCGATTATTAGAATTGAATTTACTTTTATAAATTAAACTTAATATATGTATGATTGAAATTTAATTTTAAATTATTGTGAAAACTAAATATATTGTTTTATATTTATTTTACATAGTATAATTTAAAGTATAGTTAGCAGATTTAGGAAATTCTAATCGTTAAGATGAATCAATTAAAAAAAAATTATTATAGATTCAATAAATACAATGTAATCTATTAAAATTAAATTAAATTCTTTACAATATGCAAAAATACTTACAAAGCTTACATAATTATAATTATGAAGAAAAAGTATATTATATTATGATTTCTCGATTTTTTTATTATTATAATATTTCATAATATTTCAATTGCTTTTACTCTTATCGGTGCCACTTGAATTACTGTTGATTGAAAATTCATTATTATCTTTGATACAATTAAAATCTTATGTATACTATAGTTTCATAACTGTTACTGATAAAGGAGATGTTTATTTAATTCACTTATTCAAATATTATTTACATTATTGAAAAAAATAAATATTGATCAGTCCATCGTTAAAAAGTTTTTAATTGAATCATGATGTGAATTTTAAAATTATAATTAAAAATACATATAAATTTTTTTATATTATATATATATAATATTTCTTATTTACTTTACATTTATTTATACTTATATGAATTATAATATTTATTATTCATTTTATATAATCGTTAAATATAAAAGTAATTTCACAATCAATTTTTCACAATTAATTTCATAATCAATTTCTTGTAATCACTTATTTTTATTTGTATGGAATAAGTGTCAGAAAAAAATTGATTTTATTGCGTGGGGAACACCGTTTGCCTACTTCGTTCAAGATAGATACTTGTCCGGATTTACAATTGACAATATTTGTAATACGTTTGGTTATGCTATGAGGTTTGTTTACTTAATAATCGAGTACAAATGATGCATACATAGTCTTATTTATTTTATTATTGGCAAGTAAAAAATCATAATAATAATAGATAAGAAATTTTTTATAATTCTTCATTTAGGCATTAATTGAAATTTTATTTTTCATTATATAGTTATAGTCAAATGCTTTATTAAATTATAATTATTTTAGATTATTCTTAAATCTTATAATTGTGTTTGGTATTGCTTTGATGGTTTTTCATAATGGGGGTTTAATCAAATTTAATAAAATTTAATTCTAATTTAGTTCTAATTATAGGGTTTATGGGTAACGTCATTGCTTATAACTTTTACGCACACATGCGCGCGCGCGCACATATCTTATTATTACCTGTTACATCTATCTTATTTACATTTTACGAATTGATTCATCATATAAATATATAAAAGTTTAGAGGATTTCAATATAAATTTTAATCACAATCGAGTTTAATAGCACTCGATACGTATAAATATAATGAAATTATTAAAAATATGTTCATTTATTAATATAAATTTTCAATTCTAATATAAATCTTGAAACTGAATTGAAGTAACTATTCGTTCTCTTTAAGTCGATTCCCTTTAATTTTCTATTATTTTTTTTATTCTATTTCTTGCACAATTATATTGGTATACATAGATTGTGATTACTTTTAAATCATATTATTGTTCCCAATGCCGTTGTTGTATCTGAGTAAAGTACACTAAACATAACAATTGTATTTCAAAATTAATCATCAGGCATAATAAAAAATGTTTCAAAACATCGAGGGAGATGTACAAAATTAAAGAGTAAATGTATTCGAACCAATCATTAAGATTTTAATTTATTCAAATATAATTCAAAATAAAATTTTAATATATTAACCCCATAAAGTATTGGAAGGATAATAAAAGCTAATTTCATAATAAATATATTATTTTTTGAGCTTTCGTGGAATTTAACTTCTGAGGCGTGTATTTGAAGAAGACAAATTATCTCCATATACTTTTTTTTCATAAGACCGGTATTTATCCATGAAACATTACGATGAAAGATTAAACTCAACCTTTTTATTAAACGTCGATACAAAGAACAATGGTACTACGTAATAATATGGAATCTTCCATATAGTTGATTGTCTTACGTCTTTAAACACCTTCTTCGTATCAAGTACGGGCTATGACCGTCGCGTTACCGTCTTCTCGTCCTCTCTCTTTCTCCCACACTCGTATGCTCTAAGTTTAGTACAGTTTTAGTTTGCTTATACAAACCAACTATAATCTGGTGCACATGCAGGCGCGATGCATTAAATGCAAGCACGCGAGTGTGGGATTGTGAGCTCGCAACCGTCCGCACCCAGCTTTGGACGACATTTTAGGCACTGGCCGGCAGCAGCGCCGACGAAGACGTCGAAGTTCCGGGGTGCATACCTCATAGGGAGTGAGAAAGGGAGAGCGATAGGACTGCACGCACACAGCTATATCAAAGATGGCTCCTCTGCGAAACAGGCAGTTCTCTCGACACTTGACGCGAGGGTGACGAGGGAGAGAGAGAGAGAGAGAGAGCGAGCGAGAGAGTGAGCGAGGGCGAGAGGGTGAGAGGGGAGCGAGAAGGATAGAAAAGATACGGTGTTGAAGAAGAGTTTGAAGAAGGGAGTGACGAAAGGTCGTGGCGATCCGAATGACTGGGAAGTTGTGGACGGGAGCCAAAAGTAGAAACGGCCGGTTGTGAGACGCTCGCGTTCTTCAAATTTTACTAGAAAAACGAGAGACAGAGAGAGAGAGAGAGATAGAATGAACAAATGAGTGTGTTTGTATGTACATGAGAGAAAGAGAGAGAGAGAGAGAGATAGATAACGAGGAAAAAAGAGAAAGCGGAGACGCCAGGGAAAACAATTCAGCGCCGGCTAGGAAAGTTGCACTCCAGGAGGTAACAACAGTGGACAGACCAGTGGATCTTACACTAGGTATGCCATTGCTTTACTCTTTGTGCTCCCAGTGCGAGTGTGAGCGATTCATAGTAGATGAAAGAGGGAGGATGTAATAAATGTAATCTTGACACCTGGAGCCTTTTTGCGAGCCTGTTGTTCCTTTTTATTAAATGTTGGCCCATAGGTGAGATTGTAATAATCTCTTTTACGATTCTGAGCTATTGAATCGGCCACTATGTAGTTGTGTTAGAATCTAAAGCCTGTCCTACTGCTTGATATTTTTTCTTTTGATAATATTATTGAATTATTGAGACTATCGTTCGAGACTTGAGCAATTAATTTTTTATTTTCGAAAAATGAAAGTTTCTTTTACATTGTGTTGAGAATCAGTCTACTTTTAGGAACCCACAGGAATATTGTTCTTAAATGTGTTAACAGGATTTTAGATAAGTTGTTCTTTTTTTTATCAAAGCTATATAATAATTCTGACTTACAAGAAATATATATGCATAATACATTTATTGCACTTGTAATCACTATGACTAAAATAATGATGTAAGATTTTTTTAACGGTTTAAACATTTAAATATTTTGCTGTTTAAAATCAAGATAAAAAAATACACAATTTTATTATAGCATGTAAATTTTTATTAAATAGTAATGTGATTGAGATCGTAGAGTAAAATTCACTGCTTTGTATTGGATTGTTATAATTTCCATGTAAGCAATTGTAAAGGTGAACATTTACAAAATATTGTTATTAATATTGGTTAAAGATTAATTGTGAATGCTGCTTTGCGCAATCAATTAATTATACGCATGTATGCATATGCATATACATATATATATATATATATACATTTTTTTTTTTTATATATTAATAGCTTTTATTATGATCAGATCCTTTTAACATATTTAAAATTATAAATATGTAGTAAAAGAGTATACTGTATTAAAAATTGAATTGAAAAAAAAAATATATTTTCAAATATTCTTGATATATTTAATTTTTAAATCTAATGATATTAAATAATAATATACTATTTGCAATAATTTAAGATTACAAAAGTATTACTTAATTTTTCAGTAATCAAATTTAATAGGTCCTTTGTATTTATGTTAAAAAATAAAAAAATTTCTATTTGTTAATAGTGCATGTATTTAACAGTCTAAAATAACATAAAATAACAATTGATGCTTATAGTTTAAAAACAAGTCATAATTCTTAAAGTTTAATATTTCAACCGTTCAAGTATTACAGGATTTACAATCAACACTTAAATCATTCTTTATTACTCTTTTAACAATTCATCTTCAATAATCATATTACTCATGTAGCATTTATTTGTATTTCAGATACTTAGTGCCATTCCAAAGCAATATTGCTGTTGTGGTTAAAAATAATAAAACCTAGCGTGATATTAATTCCAATAAATTTATATTATTCAATGCCTCACAGAAACATTTAATACGGGACTGAAGTGTATTGGTTTATTAAACTGTGATGTCATTATTAAGTTCAGCTTTGGAAATCAAAGCCTTATATAACAAAAGAGTTTCTTCGCTGCTTCTACAAGAATGTTACCAAAGGAAGACAGTAAAGCTCTTAAGGGTAAACAAAATGTACTGTTTTGTAATTAATAGCATGTAAAATGATATGGTAGTGTTTTCTTATGATTAAGATTGTTATAATATTATTTTCAATAAGATCTTATTTTAAAGGTCAATTTTGTTTATTATTTGTATTAAACTAATTTTGAATGGAAAATAAAATTACAATAATTTGAAATAAATTTAATACTTAAAATAATAATACTCATTGAAATCAAATTGTGCATTGGTTCGTTAAGAGTATAGACATATGGATAATCTAAAATATTTGATAGCGCAGATTTGAATAATGTGTAGTTATTTTTTTAATTTATTTTGAGAAAAATAAAATTTATATTTTATATTTGTTACCGGTGTGGCTTAGATTATAATAATTTAACTTTTATCTGTAGCTTAGATGATTTTATTTAAAGATCAAGTCTAAAGTTAGTGTTTAAATATAAACAGTCTACATTTTTAATTAACTTTTCAATAGTTTTTTTATTTAATTTTGTTTATTAATTCGATTATTTCATAGAGATATTATATTTATTTATCCGTGACTAGATGCATTGATGAACAAATTTATAAATATTAGCATTTATGTATGGTAAATATTTTGTTTGCCACATTAATATTACATAAAATTTTAACTATTTCCCGTAATATATTTTATGACTTTAGTTGCATTTATTTATTCAAATTAATAAAAAGTTTTACATCGCTATATAATAGTGTTATTAGTTTAATTTAATTATTTGTATCTAGAGATTTAAATATCTTAGAATATAAAAATCGAGACTTAAACTTTTAATAATCTGTGAATCTGTATATAAAAAAAAAAGAAGGAAAACATTGTTATTTCATAGTCCAAATTGATACCAATTATAAAAAAAATTGTCTTTAACAAATTAAATTAAATTTTTGAAATTTTTAACAAATCTTTCAAATATCAAAATATTTTGTTAGAAGTTACATATTTAATAATGAAAATTGTAATTGATTTTTGCCATATAAAAAGTTCACAAATTTCAATCACAATAAACAATTAGAAGAAAAATTGTGTTTTATTTTACTATCATTCCATATTAATTGCGAATAAACAAACTTTGTAAAATATTTGCCGTTATTTTCATATAGCTAATACTAAGCTAATACTTTCTCAATAAATCGAGTAATAAAATAAAATAAATGTATTTCTTCTCTAGTTCTTGAGCAGTCCAGCAACGATCCAAGTTCAAGGAATTCAGGAACCTTTGATGAAGATCTAAGTAGGATCAACGTCTGCTAAGTCGATTAAGTACGTGAACCACTGGTGGGTCTCTTCTATTAATTAATAAGTTTGTGAATATATTGGAGTGTAAAAGACGCCCTCAAAGACAAATGGCGCGCAAGAGCGACAACGTGAAGAGTATTAATGTGGCGGTGGTTGGGCTGTCAGGTACAGAGAAGGAGAAAGGTCAGGTTGGCGTTGGCAAGTCCTGCCTTTGCAATCGCTTTATGCGCTCACTCAGAGATGATTATACTGTTGATCATATCTCTGTATTGTCACAGGTACACATTGTTTTTTCTTTGAATTCTTAACTTTTGTACTAACTTTATTGTAAACGTTTCTCAAGTAAAAATATGATTTTTACAAGTTTAACCTGGTACTCAATTTTATATGAGTTTAAGAAATTGTAATGAAAAAATGCAGTAGTTTATATGTAATTAAAGAATGATATAGAATTTATTTTAATAAGAAATAATTATCAAAATTATATTATCTTCTATAAATGGTAATGTATAATATCAACGATATTTATTATATGATTTATGTACTGTAAGATTACATATAGCATAGTAAGATAAATTAAAAGAAAAATTATTCCAATACCTTCTTAGAATTGTGATTGTTTTATAAAATATATGTAACCAGTAATTGAAAGTATTTTATAAAATTAGTGTAACTGACATTTAAAATATCCACAAAATAAATAGTAATCAATAATTAATATAATTATTCTATATACTATATGATAACTTAAATGAAGGAAGCCTTTGAATGCTACAAATAATTGAAACAATTATATTAAGTCTCTTTTAATAAATACATTTAATAAGATAAAATTTTTTATTTTGAAGTCGGACTTTAGTGGTCGCGTGGTCAACAACGATCACTTTTTATACTGGGGGGAAGTGGTTAAGCCAACGGAAGATAGTTCTGTGGATTATCAGTTTCAAGTCATCGAGCATACAGAGTTTATCGATGATTCATCTTTTCAACCATTTAAAGGTGGTAAAATGGAGCCATATGCTAAGAGGTGTACCTCTACAAAAATTACGAGTGCTGAAAAGCTGATGTATATCTGCAAAAATCAATTAGGAATTGAAAAGGAGTACGAGCAAAAGGTTTGATAAGTTTACTCTTATTTCTTCGATTTAAGACATTGAAAAAAGTAATTTGAAAAGCTTGATTCTAAATTGTTATCAATACATGCTACATATAATGATTCTAATAAACAGCTTTTATTTGTTCGTATTAATGTACTATTTTTTAAATCTGTACTACCAAATACATTGAAATTTCTTAGAATACTTATATAAATCATCATAATATATGGTAATTTATATATTATTTTGTAGAGAATCAATACATTTTTAATTATATGTATATTAGCCTGTAATAATTTTAATAATTTTATAATTAATATTTAATTTATTTATATTATTATTAAATTAATTATATTAATATTAAATTAATTTATAATTAATAATTAATAATTTTAATAATTATTAAATTTAGTATCTGTCTTACTGATATTTAGAGTATTATCAGTAATATTATCAGTAAATTTACGGTCTATATATTATCATCTATTAAATATATTTTTAATTTATTTCACTGATGTAATATTAGGGATAAAAATAAAATTTCTTAACAGTATTTCTTAATGATAACATATCGACATTGTTCTTAGGTTTTACCGGATGGAAAGTTGAACATCGATGGTTTTTTATGCATTTTTGATGTGAGAGTCGTGCCTAATCGTTCAATAGAAAAACAGGTTGATATCGTCGCTAATATACTTAACAATTTAATGAAGACGAAAAAGCCGATAGTTTTGGTGACAACCAAGAATGATGATGCCAATGATCAGTATGTGAAAGAGGCTGAAAAACTTTTAATGCGAAAGGAATACAAAGGTTCGATATTGATGGTCGAGACATCTGCCCATGAAAATATCAATGTCGATTTGGCTTTCATGACTGTGGCTCAACTTGTTGATAAAACAAAATTGCGTAGTAAGGTAAAATATTTTTGTACACAAATTCATTGTTTTATTCATTTTAATCAGTATTAATTTTAAGAAGAGTTGTTGCAATCACATTAAAAAAAAAAACTTTTAATCTATAAATCATAAACCAATTTAAAAAATCAACAATATTACCTTATTAGAATGAAAAATACGACATTTATGTAAAATTTTAATTCGTAAAGTTGCTTTTTATAATGTTTTCATAGCACATAGGACAAAAGTTGATTTGAGTATTACTGTACTTTCTTTTATAGGTAATAGCGTTTACAGAAGCTTCTCGTCAACGAAAGGAATTGACAGATATATCAACGGAATCTCTTCAAAAGCTTATATGTATGCACGTACAAGACTATCGTGCCATTTGGTCACATGCATCGAAAAAACTCGCCTATCATAGGGAGTTCACGATGTATGTCGAACTTTTTGGAATCGACGCTACACAACGTCTTTTTCGTAGACACATGAAGAAGCTCAAAGACGAACAAGTGGCTAAGAAGATACAAGGTTACTTAGATGTCCTACCGGATATATTGCACGAGATTTGCCCAGATATTTCTAATTTAATAAACGAGTAAGTTATATTTTCCTTTAAAATGAAATTCTGACGTCTGGTTCACTTTAAATTTTGAGTGAATATGTATTTTATATTTTTTTACATAGTCGATGATTAAATCTTTATCTTTTTTGGTTAATATGATTTTAAATATTTATATTGCAATTATAAATGAGTTAAAATGCAATAAAATAATAAAAATTCGGCTGTTAAATTAGTCGGATTATAGATTAACGAATGTAGGAAAACATTGTTTTTAACACGTATCCAAATTAATTTTTTTAATAATTTAACGTCGTTTCATATTTACTTTATAACATTTTAACGAATTTAGTTATATATAAAAATGATTTTCAAATATGTACATTTTCAAACTATCTGATAAAAAGTTAAAAAGAAATTTATAGAAAAAATAAGTAGCTGTTTAAAAACCTTGCGAAACATAACATTGAACTTTTAAACATTTTTAATGCATTTATTACATTTTCATTAATATATCAGAGAATGGTCGAGCGTGCAGCAGTTTATAAAACGGCATCCCGATTTTGATCGTTATTTTTATGAGTGCCCGGAAGATTTACCGTGGATTGACTATGATTTTGGTGAAAACAACACCTCAAAAATACCATACGATGTATTGGAAACATCGGAGGCTGAAACTGTTTTCAAGAATCATGTGAACGTTTTGCAGCAGGAACAACGTCGTCTCGAGTGAGCCTACTTTTATTTTCTGAATATGGCTGTGATGCAAATATCATTGTATATGTTTGCGTTGGTGCATTTAGAATTTAGGATGTGTCGTCTTAGTTTTACTAACAATTATTTCATAGTTCATACCAAAATACCACACGAGAGAATTTTTCAATTCCTTTTTTTATTTGATTTAAATATATTTTATTTTGATTTTTACTTATTATTACGATTGCGGATTTAATATTTTAGCAAAAATTAAAATATATTAATATGTTACTAATTAGTTCATTATATAAATATATTGAATTTTTTTTATTAAAAGAACATGTAAATATTTAAATAAGATAATATTTAATGATTAAAAAAAGAAAGAAAATATTTTGGAAATTACAACTTCAAAATAAATATATTCTACGAAAAAAAGGATTTTATTGTAAATTCAATTGTAGATTTCGAGTAAGTATTGTTTTAGTATTTATTAAAACAAATAAGATGAAAGTTATTTTCATAATTTGATCAAAGTTTAAAAAATTCTTTAAATTATAAGTAGAGTTTAAAAAATAATTCATTTCCAAATGACAAAAATTTGTCTATTTATTTTTAATATTATTTAGATTAGTTTGAGTTTACCGTCATTTCGATTATTAAGAACAATAACTTTTTGTAAATTTGATCGTGTGGTAAGGTAAATTATTATTGCCTTGTTGGCTAAATGTTAATGCCAGCGATGAAATCTATGTGCAGCAAACTAATGCTTTTTGCTTTATTCTGGGTGGCCTCTTTCTTTTTGCAGACTTCCAAACAGGTAATTACACGCTATTATTTTACAGCTATTAGTTAATTAGTTTTTAGTAATTTATTTTTTGTACTGGGGCTTATTAAGTTCACATTGAATGCAGAATGAATTAGTATTTGTTAATAGTAACTCTAAAATATTGAAGATTATAATATATTAAATAATATGATGAATATATCTAGCATGTCTATATAGTATAATATAATTTAGTTTCTTAATTAGTGTAGAATGTTTTAATCAATTGGTAAATGAAAATTTTAAGTAGCTCAGTTATTTCAAGCTTTTAATTGGATTTTAAAAATGTTTCATAGTTCATTGAGTTTATAGTTTATAGTTTATAGTTTATAGTTACATGTCAATATATGAAAATATAGATTTTAATAAATAGCAGTCAAGTTTAAAATAATTTTATCAGCGTTATTAGTTTCTTGATCGGCTATTATTATAGTAAAAATTATTAGTATGCTAAAAAACTTAAAGCAGTGTAATTAAAGAAAAATACGTTATAATTATTTTAAGAGTTCGTGTTAATTAAATTTTCATTATACAAAAATCAGTGTAAATGTTATTAGTCCGTGGTAAAAAAAATAAAAAAAAATTATAAAAGTGTATTTGATTTTTATATTTTAGGTTGAAGAAACAGTTTAAACAGTTGCTGGAAGAGACGGGTTACGTTACTCCAGGAAAACAGCTTACGGAAGTACGAGTGCTTTTTATGGGCCGTGAGTGCTTTGAAGCGTTGTCTCATCATGATTGCCAAGAAATCTACGATCAACATCAAAAGGAAATTATCGAAAAAGCCAAACATAACTTTCAGGTGCGTAGGCGCAGTCGATCTGATATTATTGTACTCTATATTTTGTAAAGTAAGAGTTTATGGTTTATACAATGAATTATTGTTTCACCACAAATTTCACGTGGAGATTTAATAAATTTAAAATGAAGTTTTATTTAAGGTAATAATGGTATATCTATTATAAAAAAAAATATATATATATATTTTTAATTGTTTACAACGTCCTTATTTATTTCTAGTGAATAGATAAATAAATTAACGATTCTTTATTTTGATTAATGCTTATGCTAGCAGTTGTATTTGTGTGGTATTAAAAATATTAGATAACCAGCTTTATTTTAATTTTATAAAGATTTATCGTAAAGAACGGTAAAATCTTTTTTTCACTAGACTTAACTTAACTAAACTTTACTTAAAGAAAAGTTTTAGTTTAAAATCTAGTTTAAAACCCGTTTTCATAAATTTGGAAATGAAATTTATAATAGAGATTTTTGAGAGAATTTTCAGTGATCTATATGTTTATAAAGATTAAATTTTCAAATTGTTAAAATATTTAGAATTATATATTAAATGTATAATATGAGATTTATTATAATAACATTATATAATTTATTAATTTTTATAATTTAATTTATTATAACATAAATAATAATATTATAATTTATTATTTAATAATTTAATTTATTTATTGTTCATTAGGAATTGCTTTTGGAACATGCAGATTTATTTTATCATTATAAAAGTATCGCTCCTACGGGTACAATTACGCAAGAAGATATTAAAGAAATAACTGATGCTTTGCTTAACGATTTTAGGTAAAATGGTGTATTTATAGTTTTTAAACATACTGTAATATGAGAAATAAAAATTTTTCTTTAATTGAATGTTTTTCTTACAGGTATAAGGCTTTAGATAGATTAGACCAAGACAGAAAATTAATGCTTTTTCAGCATTTAGGTTTCGTTCATTGTCCAATTCGAGAACACTGCCCAGCTTTTCCTAATTGTATGGACGCTTTAATTGAACGAATTTTAGGAACAAAGGCTCATAGGTAATTATTATTTGCTTTTATATAAAAAATTTCAAATTCATAATATACGTTGTTTTACAATGTCGATTTGTATAATGCATCAAATATCTTTTTACTTTTATATAGACCATCGTCTTGGAACCATAGTAGTCAATGGCAGTTAACTTCTGAAAATAATCAGCTTAATTTGGTGATACTAGGTAGTAACGGACTGAGCGAGGAATTTGCTCGTGAGATTCGATCACAAACGGAGGATGACGAAGTGGAAATTGATTGTCAATTGTATACACTTGGCTATCGTGTTATCGATGGGGATGTCGGAATACCCCATAATTCTTTTACTACATCTGATTTTATGCCTCACGGTAATGAGTAATAAATCAATGTTTCTTTGTGGCAGTGATTATAAACATTATTTGTATTTTATAATTTTTAGGTTCCTTTTGTATTTGTTCGAACGAGGATACGTTTGAGTACGTTCGTTCGTCTTTAGAGAAAACGCTTCTGTCAAATTTGGAACAGGAAGATCGGTTACCATTTCAGGGATTGCCGATAGTAATTATATTCGTTCCAGATGGAATAATAGATGAACTTGAAGCAGTAAGACTTCGCGAGGAGGGTCAAAATCTTGCAGACAGGTAAATCTTAGCACGAATATTCTACACTTGATTGTATTGAATTTCCGATGAGTTAAGAATATTACTTTAACTTTATTTATTATAAGTATTATTGTATTTTTCAATCACAGTTTACAATGCCCATTTATTGATGTTGCAATTGAGGATTTAGAACAAGATAAGAGATTTCCTACAATGTTGGTTAAGGATGCATTGCAACAACTTGTTCAAGCGATAAATCATAGGGCAGGATTTTTGAATATCTACCAAAGTGTTATTGAATGTTTGGAGCCAGATATTAGGTACATATTATTTATTATCATTATTAATGCTTACTTAATCTGAATCTGCTTTATAATTTAATGATATTTTTCGTATTTATTAAGGAACATTTCTTAATACTATTATGAGCTGTTAAATTCAGATTATTATATCGTTAGATAAATATTTAAATTTTAAAAAAGTTATTTAATAAAAATAAAAAAATTTTTTAATAATTAGTATTGAGGTTAGTGCTCATGTTATTACACAAGTGAAAAATGTTTTTTGTAGGATAATAATGTGTATGTTCTGCGGTGATCCGTACTCAGTGGAAAATGTGCTTGCACCACTGTTGAGCCACCAGTGTTGTTTTCTCAGTAGTGAGCGGTCCATTGTTCTTGAAACATTTCTCGGCGAGTCAAAACGTCGAGTTGAAGTAACAATATCAAGCTTTCACGGGGCTAACGCCTTTAGGGATGAGCTCGTCCATGGCTTCATTCTTGTTTACTCAACCAAAAGGAAAGCCTCGTTGGCTACACTCAAGTACGCGCGAATTTTGTAAATGCCAGACTCTTGTCATTACTTACATAGCCATTATTATGCAAGATAAATTATTCTTTAATAGTTTATGTTTGGTATAGTTATCTAGATTGAACTACACAGTATGTACTTATCGTTGTTTCTATTCATTTGATTAATGGAATCGTAAAGGCAGTTGTTTTAATTCTTAATTAAACTGACAATAACTATTTTTTAAATATAGGATTTGAAACTCATTAAATATAAATTCAGTACCCTTTAGTTCATTATCAATTTCAAAAGTAGACAGTAAATAATGGTAATTATTAATTTCTATTAATGATTTAATTTTTTAATTTCTATATTATCGTTTAAGACAAAATATTTTATTATTTAATTATTGTTCTAATTGAAATTCTTTTAATTTTAAAATGCATTAGAAAATTATAAACATTTTAAACAAAATTGAACAAATCGTATTATTATTATTTTTATTAATTGTTTTTTACATTACATACGTTCATATAAATATCTAATGGTTGCTAATAATTGCATTTGAACCCCTTAAAATAAACCATTAAAGAATAATTTATTTTTGCAACATTAAACGCAGATTATTTAAAATAATACGTGTTTTTATAGTGCGTTTTCACATAACATTCCAAATTTGCCAATTCAAATAATGGCAGTGACTGATACTGGAGGTGCTAATGCATTCTTTAGTAATGATTTGAGCCATCATCTCATAACAGAAGGAAACGCTACGGCCGATAAGCTACAGGCTCATTTCATGACCTCCTCGTCATCTTGTCAGCAAAAAAGTAAAAGAATACTCGTTTTTAATACTTTTCTTTTATATCGTTAAAAAAAATTGAATAACTTTTTTCACGCGATTTAATTTATTAATTAGCATCATTGTGCATTACGGAAAATTAATTAAAAAAAAATACGTTAATTTGATAATTTTCTTTAATTAAGTCTTCGAGTATAGTATGATTTTTTTTTATCATAATTCATAGAGTGAGCAACTTTTTATCTTGTTTATTTCCAATGGTATTATAGATGTTGGATATTTATGATAAATTAATTAAAAAATTTTTATTAATTGTATTTTATGATTCTATTGTTACAATGTAAGTAAAATATATATTTTCAGCGGCTTTCTATACACCGTTCTTTAAAGAAGTGTGGGAGAAGAAGCCAGAGATTGAGCAGGCATTTAATATGGAAGAACCAGGCAACCTTAATGATAGTGGCGAAGGTACACTAGAATATTCGGCATTGCATCCGATGCCTCCACCGCGTCATGAAAGTTACCATTTACAGACTCCGGACGATGGGTGAGTTAGTCGGAAAAAGTTTATTCAAAGATTAAAGATTTATTATTTACTTTTCCCCTCTATCCCCCCTCTCACTATTCCATCCTCTTTTGGTATCTTTTTGTCTTCTTTTATTTCTTTTTATATGTTTCTGAATATCTCTCATAGTAGCAATCATTTGTGTATAAATCAAGCACATTTCATTACATGTTATATGGGTTTTAACTGAAAAATGAGTGATTTTTAAATTTTAAATAAGTTATATATATATATATATATATAAAGAATATAAGAATATATTATAATGTAAGAAAAAAATTATTTGACGAATTTAAATTTATATTTAGTACTTTTCAATATTTAACTTTTTTTTTTATTAAAACAGTCATTTAATGTAAAATGATCCAAACCTTTTGGAGTTCTTTGGATGAATAATTACACGTTCATTTTTAAAAAAATATTTTTAATTGTTTACTTCTATTGTGATTTAAAAAATCGATGACGTTAAATTAATTTTAGTTTATTTAAATAATCACATATTTGTACCTTTATTGAAATATTCATTATTAGAAAATTAATATTTATTTAGCCACATGTATGTACAAACGAGATGCCAAGAGTGCTACTGAAAAAGTTAAGATATTTAAAAACTGTCACCAGAAGTTCTTAAGTTGAATTTATCAATATTTGCAATGAGAGAAGTTAGTTAATTTTTCTAGATTTTATTTCTAACGGGAGTAAATTGTGCTTCATTCATCTTCAATGGATTTGTTCGAAGTACTAAGAAGAATGTAGATAAATAATCAACGGTTATTCTTCCTTTCTAATTGTATTATTTCTAGTCTAATGTCAAGCAGTATGTCTGTAACTTTCAGAAGTGGTTCGGAGTCTTACGAGCAACTGACACCGGACGGGGAGTTGGGCGAAGGTGGGCTTAACGAGCACTTCGTCGACAATCGGGCAACTCCAAGCGACGATAGTGATATTTACAGCCAAGTCGATTATCATCGAGAGGAGCGTGATAGAGACTTCGGCAGGAGTGGCGATATTGCAAGCAAATTGTCCGGTATGCGTCACTTACCTGATACGATCATTTTCATTATTTCATCACTAAATTTCAATATTGATATCATTTGTTTGTTTATTTTATTATTTCTTATTATTTAAGTTTAATCAATTAATTGGTTTGTAGCTGTATGCAAAGAATTGTAGAAACTCATGTAAAAATTAATTTTCTTGGTGATTCATTCATTAGATTTCTCATATAATTTCTTCGCAAATATGTTATTAACAATTTTCGCCTAAAATTACGGGTTATTGTGTAATTACTAATACCACAAAAATATCTAATTTAATATTTATGTTGTATTAATTTCATTCAATATTTTCTATTAAATAAGTAATATTTTGAAGTAATAAAAGAAAATACTTCAAATAATTCAGTATCAATTACCACGCTAATTTGAAATAGATGCTTATAAAAGTTTAAATTTTAAAGATGAATGTATGAATTGTTTTTAAAATTTTGTTTAAATATACATCATTGTTTTGTTTTTTATTATAAATAATCTATTGCTACTGAAATATTTTCATATTTGCATTCTATGGCTTCAATAAAAACTCGTTCATATTATTATCACCAAAGAATTTTTATCATACAAAATTAATAATTGAGAGTTTTTTTTAAGAACAAAGATACTATAATGAAGTATATAAAATACATAAATTTTCTAATTGGTATAAATTTATGAAAATACGGAATATTTTCATTTTATTAGGAATATTAATTTGTAAATAATATAATTTTTTATTAAATTCCATCAATTAAAATACTTCAATCGAAAAAATTAGTCAATAGAAGTAAAAATAAATTATTATTCATATTTTAAGAAGAATCACAAATGCAAATCATTGAATTATATCATTTAATTTTTTAAATAAATTGATTAATTCATCTATTATATTCGAACTATTAAATATTTTATTATATTACTTAATATATGATTAAATATTATAATATTAAAAATAATTAATACAAATAAGATGATTATTAAAATTAGTTAAAATAATGTAATAAGTATAACAATAATATATGATATAACAATTTAGTTTGAGACACATACAACATGTATTGTGATACAGAAAAGTTTTTCATTAAACGTCTTAAAGAGTGGATATAATCAATATTTTCAGTAGACTGGATGTTATATAAAGAAAAAATAAATCATATAAAAAAGTTCCATTTCATCTCTTCTACGTCTAGAAAATATTTTTCTTTATTAATGAACCAAATATTTTGGCATTTATGAAATTCTTTATTTATTCGCTTATCTGTAATATGACAGAAGTATCAGATTCTATTATAATTTTCGTGAACATTAGTGTACTTCATTTATAACGAATTATAATACAAAAAACTTATAAGAAATAAAAATATTTGTTCGTTGAAGAGAAAAGTAGGAATATTTTTTCTGGACTGTTTGAAGGCATCATATCTCTAGAACTAACTAACCATATATTTGCATAATATCAGGCGTTATTAACCAAAACTGAAGCTATAATCAAGACTTATTACTTTTTCTCCATGCGAAAAGCAATGAAGCACTTTCGCACGGTTTCAGGATGGGTTAAGGACACTTTCATGCACCAGCAACAGGACGGGGTGAATAATAGTTACTCGCAGCGAGCATTTACCACCGGTCGTCGACATATATCACAAACCAAATCGAGGCCCAAGGGTAACAGCCAGACTCTTAAGCAGCCCGGGAAGATAAACCTCAAGGATTTTTCAAATGTGACCGACGTAATATCACGTATGGCCATCGGGGAAAAAGATGAACATGGCAAGATGCTCGGGCACGCGCCTCTTGCCACTCCGGAAATGGTCGATCTCGGTTCTGAGTACGCGCAGGTGAGAAGAATGGTGAACATAATTAATTTTTGTTCTTAATTGTAAGACTTAAGAGTTACAGATTGCGAAATTTCTTTATTTCAATCTTATTTTTTAAAAAATATTAGGCCATTCAGGTGAAAAGTATTCATTAAATAAATATATGTACATTATAAATAGTATAAAATTTTGATTATTTTTATTAAAATATATTGAACTTTTGCTGGTAAAGTATATTTATGTTTTGTTAGTTGTCAATGAAAAAATTTGTTAAAATCTTAGGTCCTTATTCTTAATGATATCGATTAAACTGACACTACGTCATGCATCAACATTTAATAATCGGAGCAATAATTGTTACAATTGCGAAAGTTTCATTATTATTATTATTCAAAAATAAAAGAATTATAGACAATAATTTTAAAAATAGGATTGTCCATTCAAAAGTTTAAAAATGAACCTTAATGTTCTTATAGGTGAAGGATGTTGTACCAAATTTGTATTCGCATTATGATGGAGATTATGTTTACACTTTGGTGCATGATTCTATTGGAAACAACAAATCTAAATTGCGACATAGGAGAGAAAAGGGTCAACCTTGTAAGTTGAATTGGCTTTTATCGTCTTATGTAAATTGTATACGAAACTATTAATATATATAAACTTAATGAGAAGTTAAATATACTATTCATAAAAGTGCTATATTAGTACAAAAATTTCAATAATTATAACGAAATTTGCAGGTATTTGCATTATCATTACTTACCAATAAACATCCTAAAATTTTAATTTATATATTTTATATAATTATAAACGTTAATACGGTCTGGCGAACTAGCTTAGTTCGCATGTTGAGTAGAAAATAAGCCACTAGAGATTGTAATAAAATATATGAATTTTGCTTGAAATCAAACAGATTCACCATCGACAGCTTATACCGACTCTGACTCCGAGTGGAGTTCTCTGGAACGTCAGAGGGTGGCGGAGGCCCTTAGCAAGGTCAACAATAAGAAGTTATCATCACACAAGCGGACGCGCAAGAAGCGTACAGCTATACCTGTAGCCACGCCCAAGGTGCCCCAGCTCTCTGGTATGTCCGGAGTTATCGGGAGTGGTCTTAGCGACGGAATTATTGGGCTTAATTACAACATGAAAGATGATAAGAGTTGGCGCATCGATCTCAACGACCGAGGTATGATTTCTTATTAGCTTTTTATGGTCGTTTCATTTGTATCATTAATATGTTTTAATTCACGTAGCTTTAAATTATGGATTAAACGTGGAAAGAAAATTTATATAGGCTCATGTAATATACTAAACCAATGAAATCCACTTTCTTATTGTATTCGTATTAATATTATTATTATATTTTATATAATTATTATTCTCACAATATTGATACATTGGCATGCATACTAATTATTAACAAACTTATTAACATGGCTTAGCGTATGATTTAAAGTATAAAAATAAAAAGTTATCTCGTAAAGGATGCATTAAATTTTTTAGCGTCGAGCGAGACTCCTGACAGTTCAGAATCAAGCGATCAAGAGCAGCTCTCGAGATCTCGGTCAAAGTCACACACGAAACATCCAGCTACTAGCCTTCGCAAAAAGTTTGGCAACTCGTTGCAACAACAGCAGCAACAAATGCATATGTCGACGACTCTTCAACATCCCTTCAATCTTAAGCACATGACTCAGGAAATGTTTAGTACTATTTCAGCGAAACAGCGTATAGTCCTTGGCGAGAACAACATGATAAACATGCCGGACGATGAGTCGAGCCTCGACGTATCATCCCCTCGTGAGATAAATTCACCGAGCTTTGGCCTTCTAGCCAAAAGCAAGGATGGCCAGGACAAGCTGACACGTAAACGCGACAAGCAGAAGGCCAAGGAGGATGAGAAGTTAGAGAAGCGCAGATTAAAGGTAAAACATTATTTAATCGTCGTAAGGGTAGGAAGGATGAAATTGAAATATTTTCTGTAATTAAAGCTTTTGTGAATATTTTTATCAAGATGAATAATTATATAATTAAATAAATAAATATTAAATAAAATAATTACCTATGCGATTAGTTGCTTTGCTAGTAAATAATAAATAGTGATTAAATCAAAGTATCGAGAATAGTAAGTATGTTGAAGTAATTTAAATTTGTTCACATATTTATTGTAGGAGGAGAAATTGAAGAGGCATGCTGAAAAAGAACGCGAACGCGAGAAGAAAAAGCAAGAGAAAACACGACAAACGAAAGGTGTAAACATGTCTATACAGCTGCCTCAAACACTTATCGAGGATTTCGCTCAGAGCGACACCAACCCAATTCCGCTTTTCCTTGAGAAATGTGTGCGATTCATCGAGGACGAGGGTCTCGATTCTGAGGGCATATATAGGGTACCAGGAAATCGTGCTCACGTTGAACTTTTATTCCAAAAATTCGAAGAAGGTATTGGAATGAAATTTGAAACCAATTTAATATATTATTCTTTATAAAATACGAATAAAATTCATGTTAAATTTATTATTTTTTAGATGTCAACGTAGATATACATTCGTTAGATATTCCCGTGAATGCAGTGGCTACAGCACTCAAGGACTTCTTTTCCAAGAGATTACCACCTCTTATAGATAAGGAAAGCATGAGTCAACTCGAGGATATATCGGGTGAGCTCTCATCAACACTCGGCTTGCCTTTTTATTTTTTCTGCTCTTTATCATATTAATAATACAAGGCTGGGCTGCAATATGTATTATTTTTCTAATTAGCAGAATGTTATTTTGTAAACATTTATTTTAGAATACACATACACACACACACACGCGCGCGCACGCACGAACACACACACGCACACACGCACACACACGCACGCACACGAACACATGTATACACGCTCATGTATTGTGAATACATACACACATACACTTTATACACGCATAAACACTATATACACACTCTATAACACACTCTACAGACACACAAACGCCAGCACATAAAATACATTTACGTACTGTATAGTGAAAACATATATTTATGTTTACAATTCTGTTTTTATTTTTTTAAATCTAAAGGTGCACGTGGTATCAGCAAACCGATGTCCGCGACATGCATGAATATGGAAGGTTGGTTTTTTCTTTAATTGATTAATTTTGTTAAATAATTTACATAAAACGGGCGATGTACATTAAATAAGAAAAAAAAATCACAAATGAATCTATTTGTAAAATGGGATTCTCTTACCTTATTACGTAAGCTTAGTGAGTTTTAATATTTTTTTATTAGCAGGTTCGGCGTGGCATGATACTTGTTTTTGTCATCAGAAGGAATGCAAATTTTTTAAAACTATTGTATAATTAATTATTTGATTTGTATCATCTAAATAATATATTCATATATCAATATATAGAGGATGGTAGGTTTCATTTTTAGTTGCTAAATTCTTATTCATGAAAGCCAGAAGATTTTATTTTTTCATTTATTACGCTGAACCTGTTAATGCTATGTACACATTGTTAGTTGATTTATTGAAAATTACATTCTCTGCTCTTAAGTTTAATTCATTTGTTTTTTAAATTACTAAGGTTAGCGTAGTTATATTTTAACGATAGTTATACGTGTATAATAGATTTCAAATATCATGTTCAGATTAAAGAAAAAATTAATTTAAATAACAAGTAAATCGACAATATTTTATAAATTTACCGGCAATTTAATATAAAAATTAGAGGATAAGTAAATTTTTTAACTAGCGAACTATTATTTTATATTTTAATTAAACATATTCACTGCCTTTTTAATAGCGATTATAGAATTGACATTCGGCGCTCATTAGCTTTCGATGTTGTAATAATAGCTCGTTTTTCTTTTCTGTTTTCTATTTTTCTCTGCGAATGCAACGTTTTAGATCGAAGCGGCAGATTGCTGGCCCTGCGCATGATGCTGACCAAACTCAACTCTGTCAACTTCGATGTGCTTAAATTTATATTCCAGCATTTTGTCAAGTGAGTATTAAAATGAAATATTGTAATAAATTTAATATTTTAAATGTTCACATAAAATTAATTTTATACGAAATTTGTAATGTATTATTATGACCGTTGAAAGGTATACAAATGTTAAGTAAGTTATTTAAATAAATTACATTATCTCAGATATTTTAAAATTCAAGATAAATAAAAACTTTTTATTGTAGATTAATAGTATTAAGTATTAATTTATATCTCTATTAAATTAAAGTAAATATTTGAAACCGTTTCAAGCTGGGACGATATTTCTTTTAATCTTGATTATGTAATATTTACATATATATATATAATAATTTATGTGATACTCTATATTAAGTTTCTAAGAAAGGTATATTTTTATTTTAATTCACTTTCTATAATAAATATAATTTTTAATAATTTTAAATAGGGAGGGAGAGAGAAAGAGAGAGAGAGAGAGAGAGAGAGAGAGTGAACACTTTTTCAAGGATAATGTTTAAAATTGTGAATAAAGTTTTTTAGTGCAAAATATAATATATACTATCATACAAATAAAAAAAACATTACTCACTACATATGTTAAAGTAGAATTAGAAAATTAAATTAAGATTAGTTTAATGTAGTAAATATTAGATATAAACAGCGCACTTGAAACATTTTGCATTAAGACGTTAATTAATTTATGACTCCTTTATCATGAATTATTTATAAAAGTTTTTAATTTATTTTAGAAGTTTTAAATTTGAAATAATTCTCACTTATATTTGTGACAAACATTAAATAAATTTAATATTTATGGATGAAATGAGGATATACAATTTTTATGATACTATATATTTTCTATAAATATCAAAATCGTTTTTAATTGCTAAAGCTTTGATATACTTTTTTATATAAAAAATGAATGACAACGGGCACTTAAAAAATTCAATTCTACATTTATTTGAATTCGCAGAGTCGCTGAAAATTGTAAACTGAATAGTATGGATAGTAAAAATCTTGCAATCTGCTGGTGGCCAACTCTTCTGCCGATTGAGTTTAACGACCTCGGTAGGTTCGAGGCGATGAGGCCTTACCTTGAAGACGTCGTCCAAACAATGATCGACCAGTACCCATTCTTGTTTTGCGGTAAGGAAGCAATCGTTATGGTCTGAGCGAAATACAGCGACTCTTCAAATCGAGGACGTTTAAACGAATATGACTTTATCCTCCGAAGAAAGAGAAAGAAACATTATACAGATGTTTCAAGAAATACATATTCATATGTACGCACATATGACGATTTAAAAAACTGATTTATAATATATACGCATATTTCTTTTGATCATTTATCTTTTGTGCAACACAATTAGCTTTTAGTTTTTCATGCTAGAGCCTAGATACAATGAAAAAGATACATTTTTTAAAGGCTAATGTTTAAAAAATTGTGAATACAGGCTGTAAGTGTAATCATTGTATGAGGAGATATTGCCTCTTTCTTCATTTTCTCGATGTGAAACAATGAGGAGGCGGTTGTGTATTATTTAAGTATGTGTTTAGCTATCGTTTCCTAAGAGTGCGAAGCAAAAACAGACACAGAGTTTTTAGATAGCGTTTTAAATGATATACATATTATATATAAACTGTGACGAAACAGAAAATAAAATACATAAAAGGTAATCTGAAAACAATAATAAATCTATGTCGATGTTGCTTTATATTAATCAAGATATTGTCGATGATATTTCGCACAACTTATGAGATACACTCAAGCTTAATGGGAGAAACAAATGAGTGAATGAGAAGGTAAGTGTGAATCGGAGACTGAAAATGAAAGAGAATATGAGAATGAGAGAAGCGAAAAAGATATAGAGGGTGCGTAGTGTGCACAAAATGATAAAACGAAACGACGCTTATATTGTAATTTTAAAGCGAGAAAAATGGCGCCATAATCATTCCACGATGTGAGATAGAACAAAGCGTTAGTAGTGCCATGTCATGCAAGCGAGAAGGATGGAAAAATACAATCCTAATTGAGCATTCCTACTTTTAAAAAGGGAGTTTACGTACTCGCCAAAAGATATACCTAAGGAGCATTAAGAATATATCATTATGGGTAAAGATAAAGTAAAAATACCTCTTATATTAAATATTCAATTATTTTAATTTTATTTTTTTTAGCATTTTGCATTTTAATTTATCACTGTGACAAAAAGATATTGATTTTATGAAATTATGTGATTGGCAATGCTAACATACACCAAATATAAATTTAATTCGATTAATTCTACTTTTCCATAAAAAAAATAAAGTATGATATCGTGGAAGTATATTCATTAAAACGTCCCGTCTCTATTCTCTATTTTATATTTTTTATTATATGTGGTTGATTGATATTAATACGTTTTTAAACACAACTCCGAATCGAAGTAGAGTCGAAGGTGAAAATGAAAAAAATTAAAAATAGTGCGTTGTTGATTAAACGAAAAAGAATTTTCATAACGATAAAAAAATAGACAAGAAATAAATGTAACTCAGCGACTAACGATGACCTCCGCTAATGCAAGATTTTATACATTCGTACGTAACGTTTAAACATAAATGTCGAAGTGCGGAGTAAGAAGGAAATAGTAGAAAGTAAATAAAATAACTGTAATATGCTATATATACAAGAAAAAATTGGCTCCTATGCACATGAATTTTTTCGTAGTAAATTTTGTGTACACCAGAGGAAGAAATCGATATCATCTTTTTCTGATATACGGCGAGAGTCATAATATTTTAAGAAATCGAGAGAAAGAGTGAGAATATGAACTGATTATTTTTTTTTTGTTTTATTATTTTAAAAATATATTTTTTTGCCTAACTTTTCTAGGTAAAAATTATATTCTTTATGTTATTTTTTTAAAATCATAATTTAATACCTTAGTTAGCTAATTATTAACGATTTGTATAAACTAATTCTCGAATCACAATTGTGTCATAGTGTATTAAAAATCGTTTTTTATAATTTATTTTAGTTTTTTAGTCTGAGTTTATAAATATATTACACATAAGAATTGTACAAATTATTGTTCACATGAATAAAAGAATAAAACAGAGTCGTACTCGAATATTATTTTTTTGTCGAATGTAACTTAAAGCTATAGCAAAGTAAATATTTTTTTCCATGATATTCATTATGAATACATAAACGATTGTATCAATTTTTCTCAATCTAAAATTCTTTAGCAATCAATATAATATCATTATAAGGAAATTACAATAATGTTATTGCATACTCAAAGACATAATTTACGAAACATCGTTGGTCGATGAATTAAAAATTTAAAATTATCTTAAAATTATAATATTTCTAAGTTCATATTTTTAGACAAATATAATAATTATAATTATCGTTGGCTTTTTAGCATTTACTTTAAGTATGTAATAAGATGAATATATTTTTTTATAAAAGTATCTAATTATTAAATATGTTTTTGTAATAATTAAAAAGACCTATTGAAATATTTATTCATTAAATTACTAAGCTGAAGTAAGTCATAAAAATATTAACATTATATTTATATGAGTAGTAATTATTTTTATTTTTATCTATTGGTAATCTGTGATTTCACTCTACTTCTCCGTTATAACGGAAGCACTAATAAATACTTATCCTGCAAACATAACACATAATAAAGTTCTAAGTCGGAATGTTTTTACATAATATTTTTGCGAAAGTAATTGTAATAAGCAATGCATTCATTTGATTCTTTATTGACTCGATTATTGTCATTGGTCTTTTGATTATCGGCCACTATAAAAATATTGTATTTGCATTTGTATTTATCTCTTTATCGATGTTACAGATCGATTCGATGTAATTGATGCATTAATGGTCGATAACTGAACCAACGGTCATTGAAATTCTTTTTCTTGAAATGCGATACATTGATTAAAGCGTATCAATGTGGGCCTAAATGTTTTTAAAATGGTGATGAGATGTCTTTTTATTGGGAAGATATTCCGCAAATTTGTTTGAATGTGAATGCAATTCCAGAGGGGTCGTGAGCTTGGGAAATTGCACTACTATATGTTAACAAAAAATATTGAGATTCTTCCTATAAATGAATTCCTGTAATTTTTAATTAATCTTTTATTAATATTTTTATTATTAACATTTTTAATTGCAATAATAATATATAATAATATAGAATTATACCTTAATAGTATAAAAAATTTTAAATTACCATTATTTACATATAGAATTTACACTGGTTTGATTAGTACGGTAATGGTGCCAAATTGTCAAGTTAATATATATCAATAATTTTTTTTTATTCCAATTAAATTTTTTATTTAAAATTACAATCTTTATACAGGAATAGAAATAATTATAATTTCAGTTAGAGTTAACGATAGTCTTTTTGTTTTAAAAGTAAATTAAAATGTTTTTAAGCAAGTATTTAATAATCAGGAATTCATTAAAAAAAAAAAAAATCGTATTACAATATTTTAGCCGCGTTTCGCAATTTCCAAATGCATAATTAAGTTTTTTCAATTTCGTTAATGAACGGCTAATTATTAAATTTGGAAAAGAGCAATTTCGAGGTTTCAAGGTTCTATTATACCGATTACATGAGTGATTAACAAAAATTATAAAGCAAAATCAAGTATGATGATAAATCGAAAAGTTGAATATAAAAGAGAGAATGACGATACAAGGATATAAATGATGAGTGCAGAAAACTAATTGTTTCATTCTTTAACAAACAATGTTTAAGCGATTATTTATGACATTGAATTCAAAAAAGAAAAAATAACAAAGAAATGCACTTTTCCATCAGAGCAAATGAATGAAAATCATAAGATGAATGAAAGTTGAAATGGAAAATAAATTAGAAAACAAGTGGCGAGTGTATGCGCGAGTGAGTTGGGAAATTTCCTTGGATAAGCAGTAAGCTCCAGTACAGAAAACAAGTATATTATATAAATACATACATATTATTATGAAATAAGAAAAAAAAAGAAGAAATTTCAAAAAATAAATTATGTATCTGGTCTCTTGTATTGTTTAGTTTTTTTTTATATCATACTGTTTGTTGTTTGTTTTGTTAGTGCGCTTTTATAATGTAGTAGCTTCATTAGATTAAAAAACATATTTGTGATTAATAATTAATAGACTTCATTAATAATGATTAATTTTAATAATTGATGGGTACTTATGAGTCTTACTGCAATAGGTACTTATGTAACTATCTAATTATACTCTTAAGAAGAAATGTGAGCAAATTTCTATTTAAGAAAATTCGAGTAATTTAATTAATGTTACAATAATGAAATGAAATGTCAGTGAAATTTTACGTATTTAGTATGTAAGTTCTATAAGAAAGAAAAATAAAATAGTCATCAAAATCATATAGATATATTTGTAAGGAATATTTTTCTTCCAAAGTATTTTGTACAATATTTAATTAATTTAAGAGATTTTTCACTTTTATTTATAAGTAAACGAGAATAAAAGATGAAACTAAACCGAAGTTTTACAATTGTCTAAAAGTGCTAATGTAAAATGGAAGTAAACATAAATAAAAGCTTAATAACAAATGCAAGAATTCTATCTGGATTCCTATACGGAAAGTGAAAATCATTAATTCGAATAACAACAGAGAAGCGTAACGTATACGGTGTTTTCCTTACATGTATGTAAAAATAAAAGAAATCTCCCACATCTCGCGCGATGCTCGTGACATTTAAAAAAAGAAGACGATGAAGTTGAATCGTAATTTTAAATGAAAAAAAAAATAATAAAAGAATAAAAATATAAAATAATGGCGCTTTTTCATGTGTATATATTGTTGCTTGCGTTCCGCTGCCCTTAATATGTATATCGCGGTTTTTCCATGAAATAATGAAGAATTGAGTGAGCGAGACAGAGACAGATGGTGGATAATAGATAGATAGATAGATAGATAGATAGATAGATAGATAGAGAGAGAGAGAGAGAGAGAGAGAGAGCCGAGCACAAATTATATAGTTGATTATATATTGCGTTATTTGAATTGCTTTGAGCATGGTAGCAAAGGTGTTGATTATTGTCTGTGGAGTAATGATGGTAGTCCACGTGTTAAAAGGCAACATGAAAAATTGTTTGAATAACAAAGAGAAAAGAATGTGACCACGAAATGACTTTTACAGTCTTTGTCGTATGCAAAAGTGTGTATTGTACGAATGGTTTTATGAAATACTCATTAGGCGGATTTTTATAATATTTATCCTTAAATATAGACCTTTTTATTTTTTTCAAGATTTTTTTCATATATTTTTAAAAATAATTTTACGTAATTTAATTAGATGTTATTTATATTTATTTATATTTATTTATTTTCCTTTTCATTGTGATGAAATATTGAAAATTATAGATTTATTATTAAGTATAATATATAAGAAGAAGAAAGCATTTCAATAATATTTAATTATTTAAAACAGTATTAATCCTTGATTTTTAAGTCGAACAATTTATATATAAATATAAAATATTACTTTCTTATTGAAGAGATAACTTTATTTCTTCATAAAGATATTAGTGAAATAATTACTTATTAAATTATAACTGATTTGTATTATGTTTTAAATAAAAAAAGATTTTATTTTACATTTTACAAATATTAATTTTGTGATTGAAAAATTGAAATAATT